AGGTCAATGCAAGTCTAAAAACAAATACAGATACCATTATTATGGAATGAAACTGTTGCTTTCGTTGTCCTGAGACTAGATGGCTGTCAAGGGGTATACCCAGGCAACGACACAGCAAGAATAAAAATTGTCTTTAAAAATGGGTAGTGTAATAACACAGCAATGCTTTCAGGATGAGTCACCTGGTCTTGTCCGAGTGGTTGGTTCCCATAAATCCAAGTTGATATTCTATAGAACAGACATTCTTTAGATAGAGCATAACAGAATGGAACAGGGTTAGGGTCAGTACACATGGAGCGGCACAAAGCTATGCTAGTGCACCCTGGTGCAACTAAATTACTGTACAGTATCTGCTTGCATGAAAAGTTCTACATAGTAGTGACCACATCTACATTTTAGCCATGTCCCATGATTAAGCCGGAGAGAAATAAAAGTACATTCTTTTTTTCAGTGAGCTGTGTGTACGGACCCTTTGATCATATTTTTATTTTAAGTAAACCATTAAACATTGTGCCTCTGACACTTCACAGTTCCATTTTAAAAAGGGTCAATCGGAGAGGAATCCAGCCAATAAACTGCAAGGAAAGGGAATTGGGATCAGTAGCGGTTCGTGGCTAAAATCACTGGGGAAGCCAAACCCCCCCCCCCCCATCCCCCCCAAAAAACACATTGCAACATACAGTACCAGTCAAAAGTTTGGACACACCTACTCATTCAAGGGTTTTCTTTATTTTTACTATTTTCTACATTGTAGAATAATAGTGAAGACATCAAAATTATGAAATAACACATATGGAATCATGTAGTAACCAAACAAGTGTTAAACAAATAATTTATATTTGAGATTTGAGATTCTTCAAAGTAGCCACCCTTTGCCTTGATGACAGCTTTGCACACTCTTGGCATTCTCTCAACCAGCTTCATGAGGTAGTCACCTGGAATGCATTTAAATTAAAAGGTGTGCCTTGTTAAAAGTTAATTTGTGGAATTTCTTTCCTTCTTAATGAGTTTGAGCCAATCAGTTGTGTTGTGACAAGGTAGGGGTGTTATACAGAAGATAGCCCTATTTGGTAAAATATCAAGTCCATATTATGGCAAGAACAGCTCAAATAAGTAAAGAGAAACGACAGTCCATCATTACTTACAGACATGAAGGTTAGTCAATATGGAAAATGTCAAGAACTTTGAAAGTTTCTTCATGTGCAGTTGCAAAAACCATCAAGCGCTATGATGAGGACCGCCACAGGAAAGGAAGACCCAGAGTTACCTCTGCTGCAGAGGATAAGTTCATTAGAGTTAACTGCACCTCAGATTGCAGCCCAAATAAATGCTTCACAGAGTTCAAGTAACAGACACATCTCAACATCAACTGTTCAGAGGAGACTGCGTGAATCAGGCCTTCATGGTAGAATTGCTGCAAAGAAACCACTACTAAAGGACACCAATAAGAAGAGACCTGCTTGGGCCAAGAAACACGAGCAATGGACATTAGACCGGTAAAAGTTGGTAGAGCATGGTGCTTGCAACGCCAGGGTTGTGGGTTCGATTCCCACGGGGGCCAGTATGAAAAAAAAAAAATTATGCACTCACTAACTGTAAAGTCGATCTGGATAAGAGCGTCTGCTAAATGACTAAAATGTAAATGTAAAATAAAATAAAAAAAAGACAATTTAATGGTCACATACACATGGTTAGCAGATGTTATTGCAAGTGTAGCGAAATGCTTGTGCTTCTAGTTCCGACAGTGCAGCAATATCTAGCAAGTAATATCTAACAATTCCACAACAAATACCTAATACACACCAATCTAAGTAAAGGAATGGAATAAGAATATATAAATATATGGATGAGCATTGTCAGATAGTATAGAATACAGTTTATACATATGAGATGGGTAATGCAAGATATGTAAACGTTATGAAAGGGGCATTATTAAAGTGACTAGTGTTCCATTTATTAAAGTGGCCAGTGATTTTCAAGTCTGTATGGAGGCAGCAGCCTCTCTGTGCTAGTGATGGCTGTTTAACAGTCTGATGGCCTTGAGATAGAAGCTGTTTTTCAGTCTCTCGGTCCCAGCCTTGATGCATCTGTACTGACCTCGCCTTCTGGATGATAGCGGGGTGAAAAGGCAGTGGCTCGGGTGGTAGTTGTCCTTGATTATCTTTTTGGCCTTCCTGTGACATCGGGTGCTGTAGGTGTCCTGGAGGGCAGGTAGTTTGTCCCCCGGTGATGCGTTGTGCGGACCGCACCACCCGCTGGAGAGCCCTGCGGTTGTGGGCGGTGCAGTTGCCGTACCAGGCGGTGATACAGCCAGACAGGATGCTCTCAATTGTGCATCTGTAAAAGTTTGTGAGGGTTTTAGGTGACAGGCCAAATTTCTTCAGCCTCCTGAGGTTGAAGAGACGCTGTTGCGCCTTCTTCACCACACTGTCTGTGTGGGTGGACCATTTCAGTTTGTCAGTGATATGTATGCCGAGGAACTTTCCACCTTCTCCACTGCTGTCCCATCGATGTGGATAGGGGGGTACTCCCTCTGCTGTCCACGATCATCTCCTTCATTTTGTTGATGTTGAGCGAGAGGTTATTTTCCTGACACCACACTCCGAGAGCCCTCACCTCCTCCCTGTAGGCTGTCTCATTGTTGTTGGTAATCAAGCCTACTACTGTTGTGTCGTCTGCAAACTTGATGATTGAGTTGGAGGCGTGCATGGCTACGCAGTCATGGGTGAACAGGGAGTACAGGAGGAGGCTGAGCACACACCCTTGTGGGGCCCCAGTGTTGAGGATCAGTGGAGATGTTGTTTCCTACCTTCACCACCTGGGGGCGGCCCGTCAGGAAGTCCAGCACCTGTCCTTTGGTCTGATGTGTCCAAATTTGAGATTTTTGGTTCCAACAGCTGTATCTTTGTGAGACGCAGAGTAGGTGAACGGATGATCTCTGCATGTGTAGTTCCCACTGTGAAGCATGGAGGAGGTGGTGTGATGGTGCTTTGCTGGTGACACTGTCACTGATTTATTTAGAATTCAAGGCACACTTAACCAGCATGGCTACCTCAGCATTCTGCAGCGATACGCCATCCCATCTGGTTTGCGCTTAGTGGGACTATCATTTGTTTTGACTCAAAACACACCTCCAGGCTGTGTAAGGGCTATTTGACAAAGGAGAGTGATGGAGGGCTGCATCAGATGACCTGGCCTCCACAATCACCCGACCTCAACCCAACTGAGATGGTTCGGGATGAGTTGGACTGCAGAGTGAAGGAAAAGCAGCCAACAAGTGCTCAGCATATGTGGGAACTCCTGTTGGAAAAGCATTCCTCATGAAGCAGGTTGAGAGAATGCCAAGTGTGCAACGCTGTCATCAAGTCAAAGGGTGGCTACTTTGAAGAATCTCAAATATAAAATATATTTTGATTTGTTTAACACTTTTTTGGTTACTACATGATTCCATGTGTTATTTCATAGTTTTGATGTCTTCACTATTATTCTACAATGTAGAAAATAGTAAAAATACATTAAAGCCCTTGAATGAGTAGGTGTGTTCAAACTTTTGACTGGTAGTGTATGTGTTGTGATAATAGCGTTGTTTGCTCTATTAACCTGTTAATGTATATGCCTTGCGACCGTGATATATAGGCCTAAAGGCAGAGACAATAAGACGACAGTGGCATAATAAATTCAACCACACCTTTGTTTTATCACAAAACCAGATGGCAACCTCTGTCCAGTGAAGTCCACAAAGTATATTGCATGTACATTAACAGACAGTTCATGACCTACAGCATGGTCAAGCAAGTTAATGTTTCTGACATTTTCGGACCACTAAACAACTATTGATTTAGAACCACAGAGAGTTACCGCAAGTCGCAAAGAAAACAAGAGCTGCCTCCACTATTCCAGCACCATTTCAACATCATCAAATCACCTCTGCTTAGTCTAATACAGTGACAACTAAAAGATAGTCCAATCAATGTAAACTAAATATGATGTGGCTGTCTATGGTTCTGATTTCTGTGTTTGTGCAAGTAGAAAAACATGTTGACACCACCCTACTTATAGAGAAACACCAATGCCATCCTCCTCTCTTTCATGTTGACGAAACGGTCTATGACTATCATTTTTATTTGTCCTAGGCTACCAGTTTGGAGAATTAAGTAAAACCACAAGTCCAAATCCCTATCTCCATCAAACCACAAGTCCAAATCCCTATCTCCATCCATGGCCAATTTAGGAAAGGGCCAATTTTAGCTAGCTAGCTAGCCACCGGAGGACAACAACACAACGAGATGCAACAATTCAAGTTTTCCTGTCAATGACGTATGCTCTCAAAGAGATTTGATAGGAGTGACGCCAAAATCGAAGCTGGCTTCCCTTGACACTTTTCTTTTTGTGCGCCAGGACCATTCAGTGTTGAGCTCGCTCAGTTTAGCTCAACGCTGATTGGCTAATTTGTATTTTTAAAAATAATCAAGGGAGGCCAAATGCTCACCGGCTGCCCTTGCCTTCAATGCTACGGGCAGCAACAATGTCATACTCCTTTGGACCAGACAGCATCAGATAGATGGCCTACACTTAGAGAGACAGAGGGGCGCTGTTTCGCTCGCTCAGATGCTTTCTTAGTGAGATACATTCAGCCTCTTGCGAATTGAAGGACAATTATGAAACACAGAGACTAAATCAATTATTTTATGTTTTTTTATCGGTAATTTTTTGGGGGAAGCCTGGCTTCCCTTGGCATCCATGAATACACGCCACTGATTGGGATCCAGTTCCCACGGGTGATTGTATTTGCCCACCCAGACATAAAAGACTGTAAAAACACCAGCAAATCAGCTGCAAGTCATTTTAATTTTGAAAATCAGTTCCAAAATATTCCCACGCATTACAGAGAGATATGTGATCGTATACAAATGTAAGCAAGGTTTTAAATTATTATTGTTAAGGTCAATTTGCAGTCTACAAATTATTTGTAATTATGTTCCGGCCTCTTGACCATCCGCTCTAGAAAATTTTTTAAAAAATCGGCCTGCGGCTGAATCTAGTTCAGGGCTCTTCAACCCTGTTCCTGGAGAGCTACCTTTCTGTAGGTTTTCGCTCCAACACTAATCTAGAGCACCTGATTCTAATAATTAGTTGGTTGAAAAGCTGAACCAGGTCAGTTAAAACTGGGGTTGGAGCGAAAACCTACAGGAGGGTAGCTCTCCAGGAACAGGGTTGGAGAGCCCTGATCTAGTTGATGATCCCTGTCCTAGGGAGTCCTGTCAGTGGGTGTGGTTTTCTGTAGCTTCCAGGGGCGGGGCCGGGGCTTGGTTATTTACATGGTCGTCCAGCAGGCCCATCTGAGAATGAGAGAGGGAAAACATTAAAGTACACTGAACTAAAATATAAACGCAACATGCAACAATTTCAAAGATTTTACTGAATTACAGTTCATATAAGGAAATCTGTCATTTGAAATAAATAAATTAGGCCATAATCTATGGATTTCACATGACTGGGAATACAGATATGCATCTGTTGGTCACAGATACCTTTAAAATAAAAAGTAGGGCGGTGGATCAGAAAACCAATCAGTATCTGGTGGGACCACCCTTTGCCTCATGCAGCGCGACATCTCCTTCGCATTGAGTTGATCAGGTTGTTGATTGTGGCCTGTGGAATGTTGTTCCACTGGAACACACTGTCGTACACGTCGATCCAGAGCATCCCAAACATGCTCAATGGGTGACATGTCTGGTGAGTGAACTGGGACATTTTCAGCTTCCAGGAATTGTGTACAGATCCTTGCAACATGGGGCCATGCATTATCATGCTGAAACATGAGGCGATGCCGGCGGATGAACGGCACGACAATGGGCCTCAGGATCTTGTCACGGTATCTCTGTGCATTAAAATGGCCATCGATAAAATGCAATTGTGTTCGTTGGTCCTGAGCTGGCGTTGTTACATGTCGTCTGCGGTTGTGAGGCCGTTTGGATGTACTGCAAAATTCTCTAAAACGACGTTGGAAGTGGCTTATGGTAGAGAAATTAACATTACATTCTCTAGAAACAGCTCTGGCAGATATTTCTGCAGTCAGCATGCCTTTGCACGCTCCCTCAGAACTTGACACATTTGTGGCATTGTGTGATGTGACAAAACTGCACATTTTAGAGTGGCTTTTTATTGTTCCCAGCACAAGGTGCACCTGTGTAATGATCATGCTGTTTAAATCAGGTGGATGGATTATCTTGGCAATAGAGAAATGCTCACTAACAGGGATGTAAACAAATTTGTGCACAACATTTTTGAGAAACAAGCTTTTTGTGCGTATGGAAAATTGCTAGGATCTTTTAATTCAGCTCATGAAATATGGGACCAACACTTTACATGTTGCGTTTATATTTTGGTTCAATGTATAAAAATCAAAGAAATGGGACACTTAAGTGTGGTTTCCAGGAAACAGATTAAGCCTAGTCCTGGACTAAAAAGCACTTTCAACGAACATGCTTTAATCTATGTCCAGAAAACCACCCTTCAATTTACGTTTATTTTGATGTATTTTCAAATGAAATTAGCAGTAGAGCAGCATGCGATGAGAAAAGGAAAAACCAACGCTAACTACGGTCCAATTCAGATATTGATCAAAATGCTTATGTTAAGGGTATCCTATGCTACTTTCGTTATAAACTCAGCAAAAAAAGAAATGTCCTCTCACTGTCAACTGCGTTTATTTTCAGCAAACTTAACATGTGTAAATATTTGTATGAACATAACAAGATTCAACAACTGAGACATAAACTGAACAAGTTCCACAGACATGTGACTAACAGAAATTGAATAATGTGTCCCTGAACAAAGGGGGGGTCAAAATCAAAAGTAAAAGTCAGTATCTGGTGTGGCCACCAGCTGCATTAAGTACTGCAGTGCATCTCCTCCTCATGGACTGCACCAGATTGGCCAGTTCTTGCTGTGAGATGTTACCCCACTCTTCCACCAAGGCACCTGCAAGTTCCCGGACATTTCTGGGGGGAATGGCCCTAGCCCTCATCCTCTGATCCAACAATTCCCAGACGTGCTCAATGGGATTGAGATCCGGGCTCTTCGCTGGCCATGGCAGAACACTGACATTCCTGTCTTGCAGGAAATCACGCACAGAACGAGCAGTATGGCTGGTGGCATTGTCATGCTGGAGGGTCATGTCAGGATGAGCCTGCAGGAAGGGTACCACATGAGGGAGGAGGATGTCTTCCCTGTAACGCACAGTGTTGAGATTGCCTGCAATGACAACAAGCTCAGTCCGATGATGCTGTGACACACCGCCCCAGACCATGACGGACCCTCCACCTCCAAATCGATCCCGCTCCAGAGTACAGGCCTCGGTGTAACGCTCATTCCTTCGATAAACGCGAATCCGACCATCACCCCTGGTGAGACAAAACCGCGACTCGTCAGTGAAGAGCACTTTTTTTCTGGTCCAGCGACCGTGGGTTTGTGCCCATAGGCGACGTTGTTGCCGGTGATGTCTGGTGAGGACCTGTCTTACAACAGGCCTACAAGCCCTCAGTCCAGCCTCTCTCAGCCTATTGCGGACAGTCTGAGCACTGATGGAGGGATTGTGCGTTCCTGGTGTAACTCGGGCAGTTGCTGTTGCCATCCTGTACCTGTCCACTGCGAGGACGATCAGCTGTCCGTCCTGTCTCCCTGTAGCGCTGTCTTAGGCGTCTCACAGTACGGACATTGCAATTTATTGCCCTGGCCACATCTGCAATCCTCATGCCTCCTCGCAGCATGCCTAAGGCACGTTCACGCAGATGAGCAGGGACCCTGGGCATCTTTCTTTTGGTGTTTTTCAGAGTCAGTAGAAAGGCCTCTTTAGTGTCCTAGGTTTTCATAACTGTGACCTTAATTGCCTACAGTCTGTAAGCTGTTAGTGTCTTAACAACCGTTCCACAGGTGCATGTTCATTAATTGTTTATGGTTCATTGAACAAGCATGGGAAACAGTGTTTAAACCCTTTATAATGAAGATCTGTGAAGTTATTTGGATTTTTATGAATTATCGTTGAAAGACAGGGTCCTGAAAAAAGTTTCTTTTTTTACTGAGTTTATATTTACTTTTTTTATTTTTATTGACACTTTCTGCATCTACTTTACATCTGTGGAATGAACAAGCTTGTGACAAGGGTATGAGTTTTGTGATCTGTTGACTTGCCTCCCGGGGTTTGTAGACTCCTAGTTGGAGGCGACAGCAGACGACGTCCACCAAGAAGCCCACCATTCCATGGATCATACCTGTATGGAGAGGACAGAGAGGAGTCTTAAGGCTTCCACATGATTCAGTTCGACTGGCGCCTTAGGCGAACCGAACGAGTGTGCTTGCATACTCCCTAAAAAATATATTCGCTTGAAAAACGAGAAGAAAAATGGCAATAGTACTTTTTTTCCATTTTGAGATGTCGTAGCCAGTATACACTTGCTCAAAATAGTCTGAATTAATCTAAGATAACTCAAGAAATCTCATTAATTTTGACGTTTTTGCCGAGATCTTAGTTGCGTAATTGTACATCTAAGATGTTTGGTGCAGTATTTCTCAATGAAAAAATGTGCATGAAAACAAGTCGTCTCTTGTTGAATGACAAAGATGTTATTGAAGAATCCCTACTTTTGACCAATCACCGACAAAGGGGCGTAGACTTCGGCTTGCCTCTGAAAAAAATGTTTTGTGCGACAGCCGAAAAAAACCTTACCGAAGTCCAAAACGAATAAAAACGTCACAAGATGTCGTGATAATATATGCACAAACTCTTCTGAACTGTTTCGGCTGGGAAGCATGCGGACGCCTTTAGACGTCACAAAATGATGATGAGGAAGGATGATTTTTACAACTAGTGCTCTGTGATTTCTGCCTAAAGGGCTGGGGTTAGGTGTGGGTCCTGTTAGGTTTGTAGTAAATCAGGGTCGTGTTCATTAGGCACCGAACATCAGAAAGACTGAAACAGGAAGGGACTACCTGCCCATTTTCTTTTTCCGTTGCACAACGTTTTGCTACGATGTGCCCTAATGAACATGACCCAGGTGGACATAGTTGGGGTGTTTTCCCTAGGAAGCAAATGGGACAAAACAGGGAGGGACTAACCTGAACTTGTTCAATAAGAGACACTTGTTTTGTTGCAAAACATTTTGCTAGGTTACGCACTACTGAATACACCCCTGTACTCTTGTGGCCAGCTGTGTGTGGGTGTGTGTGTACCTGTGGTGGAGAAGATGCCTCCGATGATGCCACAAAGCCTGACGAGGAACCTCCACAGGGGCATGTGCTGCTCTGTGACCGTCACCATCAACGAGCTGATGTCATACTTCATAAAGATCCCAGAGACTCCATGGCTGCCCACCGCATGGTTGATCACCCGCTCCTACAAAAACACACACACCCACACAGGGTGAAAGGATGATAATGCACCCACACCTTCAGTTCATCCACACACACACACACACAGCATACAGCTTGTACACTCAAACAAACACACAATCACACATTCTGGACCTACCCTTTCGGTGACAGAGTACTGGTTTGTGTCTGCTGAGATCTGGTAGGTGTTCAGTTTGGTGGGCACTATGGTGATGAAGTACTGGAACATCTGATTATCTGACAAGGATCAGAGAAAAACATAGTCTGTATTTAGGAACAATAGTATTCTTTAATGTAGGATGACATTAACAAAGTTACAATTCCTATAGAATGTCACAATTTCTTCATAACTAACATGTTGAGGCAGACAAACTACTTCTCCCAAAAACCCATGACTTATCTGTGCATTTAGGAAGTCTGTCATGACATGAAGCCTGTTTGATGTGACGTGATAAAGCCCTGGGTATAAATACTATTTGAAATCTTTCCAATGCTTTAATAATTGCGTGGAGTGCCAGGTGTGTGGGGATTGCCATTTTGGGATTTTTCTATTGGTTCCATTGCAACAGGCAAGCTCAATCAAGCACAGCGTAAGTATTTGAATTATTTTGAATAGTATTTGAACCCAGGACTGACGTGGTGTCCTTTTACTTACGGTCAGTGCAGACTTTCTCTGTCCCGTCCAGAGGGTTGATGATCCCTGGGATCTCCTCTCCGAACGACAGGTGGTCGATGCGATGGGAGAAGTTGTACGCTGTAAACAACAAATCAGAACAATCATTAACTTCAGGTCTATGGATATCGTCAGGTTTAAATGTGTTTAAACTCAATTGTGAAGACAGCACACAGTTCCATCATAACTTACATCTGTGCAAAATGTTTGTATGTATCATGTATGGGAGTTAAACTCGAAACAAAGAAACTTACTATCGTGGCTGACAAGGGCCGCTAGATGGGCGTGGCCTCTAGGATGTGGGATAGCCCTGTATGTGATGTGAGAAGGTCAAGCTTGCAGAGACTCCTCCCACATAGGGCATAATAACTCATGACATCACACATTCAAGAGTCAAACATCTAGGTCATGTTCATTAGGCACCCAACTGAGAAAAACAGACAAACAGGGAGGGACTACCTGGACTTGTCCAATAACAAACATTCATTGTGCTCATTAGGGCACACTGTAGCTAGAGTTAGTTGTAGAATGAGGAGAGGTGACCTACTTGCCCACAGTGATGTGGAAGTTGCCAGCCACCTTGTTGACATAAAGATGGCCGTGTATCCTGCAGGCCGCAGGCGACTGGGAGGGGCTGTCCTCTCTCGAAGGAGAATAGATGGGAAGAGGGGAGGAGAGTCACTTCAATAACATAACCGTAATCATTCAATATAGTTTATCAATCACTTCAATACCTAATTTCACACACTTCACTCAAACACACACACTGCGTCACAGCAAAGCTGTATTTTTCTTTTTACAGACCTGGGAGGCAGGGCAGTGGGGGATCCTTTCAGGACTGTCTTGAAGATCACATCCTGCAGCGAGTGCTCCTCCCTAAGTCGGTCCTGGATCATCAGCAGAGTTCTGGGGGAGGAAAGGGGAGATGAGTGAGCAAGGGAAAGGTTAAACACAGGAGTCACCATGTAGGAGTGAGAAGTTATAACAGATGGTCAATTGATAGCCTTCACTCCACCATACTGTCTTTACTTTACTAGGTTTATTTGACAGGTATAATGCATAATCATTAAAATGTCTGTAAATGTGCCACATGTAGCCAATCATCTCATCTTTTGCTTCACTGTATGCAACATTACTATTTTAGTTGTGCATGTGCAGATGCATTTTTATATTGTCAGTAGACATATCGGCCACAAGTCTTAATTCAGGAGGATATCTATATCTTACCTGTGCCACAGCCTTTGCTGAGGAGAGAGGTCAAAGGTGACCTGCACGGTGACCATGGAAAAAAATATTTTAAAAGGGCATTGTCACTGGAAAGATATTATGATTAAATTTATGGAACCCTGAATTCTCACCGCACTTGCATCTTGTCATTTGTCAGGTCGTCATTGTGACTTCTTAACTGTTCTTAACTTACTGGCCTGGTTAGGGTGCTATAGCAGGTACCAGACAGAGTCATACTTACTGGGTCATAATTTAGGCCATCTGAAGCTACCATGGTCTCTGCCAAGTCTAGGACATCTGCACCTACAACTACATACAGCCACCCAGACAAACAGCAAATCAATGAATAATATAATCAATAAATTAATCAATATGACATGATGGAAGACAAGGGCTGCCTACAGTCAATGACTTCATACAACACTACTGAAATGTTAATTCTACTACAGACATAAATACAGTCACATTATATCCTAGATGTCCCTGCCTAGGCCTAAATTGTGAGAGCAACCTTCAAACAGTGTACATACTTACATTGACACCTCATGGCAACGGTGATGTCTATGTTTATTCTTAATTTACTGCAAAAGAGAGAAAAGATTGTGTTAGTTAGCTCTATAGTTTACTTGGAGCTGTACGGTAAGTATTTTCCTGCTGACGTTGCCCAGCTAACTCAAAAATATATGCCAGACTGCTGGTTTGTGTTCATTAGGCACCAAACGGAAGCAAATGGACTGAAACTTGTAGGGACCAACTAGACTTGCCCAATAACAAACATTCATTTCCCACTGCTAAATGGTTTAGAAAATATATATGTTTGGTGCCTAATGAACATGACCATGTTCTGAGAGTTGTTTTTTACCTGGAGAAGTCTTTATCGACTTCATACTCATACTTCATCCACGTGTCTCGATACACAAAGAACTCAAGGAAAGCCAGCAGAGCCATGGCTGTGAAGGCTATCAGGGACACTGTGAAAAGACAGCAAATAATGAGTGATGTAGAAGGCCAAGTTTACAACTGGAGTAGGCTACTCATTGATTAAAATAAGTAAACAGGTACATGACTATACTAGGGTTGGCCTAGATGCTCGGTTCTAAACTTTGCCCTATATGTTAGTTTGTCCATTGCACTTATACTACGGTTGACATCATGGATGGACACGGTGTTGGGTTATTCTTAATATCATACATGAATTTAACATTTTACAATGTATCCAAGCTCTAATTTTAAGTTAAGAATAGTTTCATTGAAATTCATATTTACATTGGCTAGTTAATAACGCACCTGTTCCCCCACTGGCTGTGGTTTCCACATAGCTCTCTGGAACCTTGGGGAAAGCATCCAGCTCCTTCACCAGCGTTAGAGCCTTCTTCCGGGACACTAGTCTCCTCATCTTGTTGGGGGCAAGCGTCCACTGGATCCCTCATGCATTAAATCTTTAAGTTCAACATAGAAGTTCACTTTGTTATATTGCCTAGCAATCTCATACAAATAATTTCATATCCGAATACTTTTGACAGTGGCCGCTGGAAGGGGCTTCATAAAAACTATAATATTTTCTCGCTAGCAAACAAGAATGGCAAGTTTAAACCCTGCCATCTGTTTCTGACCACAGGTATGCACAGACTATTCTGAGCCACCACCTGGCACTTTTAACAGTATATTTGCCTACTGACGTTGCCCAGCTGACGGGAAGCTTGTAGTTAGCCAGCTAGCTATATTGGCTACCGGTAGCTATCAAACACGGCTGTGTATTTTATAATAATCATACTTCGGTCTTTACTGCCTCGGATGCCCATTCATTTTCGCCATAGAGGGAAATCCGATTTTTTATCAATCCATTGTTCTATGCTTAGTTTAGGATTGAAACATCTGGATCCTGTCTTGGTTGTTGCAAAAAACAAAACTGTCGCTGCTAACCTTTGACCCGGTGTACTACCATAGAAGTTTGAGTAGAGTGCTTTAATTTCTCCACAGCGCCCTCTGGTGATCAACAGTAAGCCGACTGACTGCGCGCAAGACATCCCAATGAGTGCCCATCGAATTCATTCCATGAAACATGTGAACATTGAAAATTACAACAATTTGCACATAACCCACTGGGCACACACTGGTTGGATCAACATTGTTTCCACGTCATTTCAATGAAATTATGTTGAACCAACGTGAAATAGATGTTGAATTTAGGTATGTGCCCAGAGGAAAGCTACTATAGTTATACAGTATACAGTATAACCAGGGGCGCAACTTTGTCCCTGCCACATTCTGAAATTGCATTTTTGCCCCCCCCGTTTTATCATTGGAATGTGATACAAAAGGAGGCAACGGTGTGCTTTAGGACCATGTGGACGCCTCCAAGTGGTCGGGTAGGCTGTTTGTGTACTCCCGAATGGCGCAGTGGTCTAAGGCACTGCATCGCAGGTTCGAATCCAGGCTCTGTCGTAGCTGGCTGTGACCGGGAGACCCATGGGGCGGCGCACAATTGGCCCAGCTTCGTCCAGGGTAGGGGAGGGAATGGCCGGCAGGGATGTAGCTCAGTTGGTAGAGCATGGTGTTTGCAACGCCAGGGTTGTGGGTTCGATTCCCACGCGGGGCCAGTATGAAAAATAATGTATGCACTCACTAACTGTAAGTCGCTCTGGATAAGAGCGTCTGCTAAATGACTGAAATGTAAATGTTTATCTGACTGGATAGAAATATATATCCCCCCCACTTCTAAAACCAACGGTGCGCCACTGATAGCTACTAAACTATGCTCTCACATTACCAAGTTTTCGATGTTTGCCTACTGAGGTACTGTAGCTAAAGATGGTTTAGAAACTCTGCTGTAGCCTATGTTTTGTTAGGTTTAGTCATAGAGTTGTGGTCTTCTGTAGCTCAATTGGTAGAGCATGGCGCTTGTAACGCCAGGGTAGTGGGTTCGATCCCCGGGACCACCCATACGTAAAAATGTATGCACACATGACTGTAAGTCGCTTTGGATAAAAGCGTCTGCTAAATGGCATATTATTATTATATAGGACTCTAGTGCCCAAAAGCCAGTTTTATCGTGGGCAGCACCATTGAGGAAGTTCACCATTTTTAAGTAGTCAACTGGGTGGGACCACTAAGATATATATGAACTGGAGACAGAGTCCAAGATGACAGACTGTTGTTTTCAACGTAATCTACTCACGTTCGCATACGCTGTTTTGTGGTGGTTGCCATCTGCTTTACAGAGCCCATAATGCCTGCACACTAGCACTCAGTGCGCACTGGAGCAGCAGCGACATCTTCATCCAGAAACAGGACAGACATTGAATGAATGTAAAATGTTAATATCTTCGGCTGTGAGTGATGGAAAAAAAAACGAACATGGTGCTTGCAACGCCAGGGTTGTGGGTTTGATTCCCACAGGGGAGCAGTACAAAAAAGTATGAAAATGTATGCACTCACTACTGTAAGTCGCTCTAGATAAGCATGTCTGCTAAATGACTAAAATGTAAATGTTCCAGGTCGTCAGGAGGGATCAACCAATGAACCATACGTAAAAATGTATGCACGCATGACTGTAAGTCGCTTTGGATAAAAGCGTCTGCTAAATGGCATATTATTATATTATATTATACTCATGAGTAAACATTCCATAACTGCAGGTGCCAGTATTTCGCCAACCTTGGCTTTATACCTATTCAAACAACACACTCCAGGGGGCAGTATGCACCCTTTCAGTTTGTTTACTAACTCATAGAAGTAGTAGAAGAAGAAAATGGACTAATTCAAAATAGAGATGGCCTCAATGGCTTGCCTTGCGCTCACAGACGCCATAATGGAACAGATACAATGTTGCGATCTCTATATACAACGCTATTGGTTTAGTAAACCACAGGGCTACCTGGGCCCTTATATTATCAATTATCCATTCACGCAATAACTGATAGTGGCTACCATATCATCATCAACCGACATCAGATTGTTTCATAAAAATGAGTAATCTCTTATAATGTATGTATTTTCACCATGAAGGCATAATTTGACATGATATGAGTTGGCCTAATTTGTTTATTTATGTCAAAGACCTAACCTAGGCTAATTTAATAAAATATTTGCTTATGTTTCACTGCATTTTATTTTTCATTGTTTCTTTATAGGCTACATGTATTTTTATTCTGCTGCTTTTCTCCGATGGAATGGAACTACACATCCCGATGTGCGCCTGGTTGTGTGACCCCGGCCAATCGAGAGCGTGTGATTTGGCGCTGACCGAGACAGACAAGGCCCAAAGCAGGGCGATTTTGTTTCAGCTAGAGGAAGAGGGAGCAAGTGAAATTGAAATACAAAAGGGGCGAGATTTATTCATAATTCCCACAGAGATTCCGCAAAATACTAGGCCCCTTTAGGTTCTACAGCCATAAGACAAGACATGGGGACCGAGCAATGGCTGTAAATTGCCCCTATTAATGAATTGCGTTAGAAACGAGGAGGCCTGCACTCTGTTTTTCTCTTTTTGTAAATTGCTCAAGGAAGCGCAGATATCTGGTGTATGTGTTTAGAATGGGACACGCTGAAGGTAATGACATTTTATTTTACTACATCTCGCGACTCTCAGTATTTCTTTCTCGTTGATAATCAGCTTGCTGTTATTATCGTAACGGTGCATTTAGCCGTGTAGATTTAGGATATTGTTATATCCTCGTTTTCTTCAAACGAATGATTGAGGTATAATCACGGTAGACAATTTTGATTTAAAGGCGCAATGGCAGCCATATTGGTAACAATATGTAGCTTCGTTTGCCATCGTGTTTCTAGTCTTCCGCATCGTATTGAAATGGCAACATAAATCAATGTGTTGACATTGCGGACGTGCCAGAATACAAGAACATCATCTCGGCTTTTGATACGTGTTTTTATATTGACAAGCAACAAATTTGATTTGCCAGTGTTCATGCAAGCTAGCTAACTTAACACATAGCATTTGAACGATGCACAGCACTGCTGCTAATGATGCAGTTCAATCACTCAGTGAAACAATGTAACAATATTTCAGTCCGTCTGTGTATCGTTTTCGTCAATAAAATGACCCCAGTTGTACAGTGTCTCAATTCGTGTATGCAAAGCTGGACCGCGTGATCTTTACTGTATATTCTCATCCAGCAGCTGTAGCTGTAATAGATGTTATTTAAAAACCATTATTTCCCCTTATATCACCTTGTGAATGGCAGGAAAGTCTGCTTAATCTGAATCAAATCAAGGTTCAGTCTATACCAAAAAATACATATCGATTCAAGGTTATTTTGTGCATGTAACAACGTTATGACACTTTCAATTTCACTTTCCAATTTCAATATGACACTGTTACATTTCGGAAGCCATATATTCATGCATTATCACTGTATTTCGTTCTGTCTCATCCAGGGCATGGTAAGCTTGGTCCTTAGGCAACCCTGTCAGCCCTTTACACCCAGAGCAGTTTGACTTCTGGATGAAATGCTTAGTGCTTGCCTTTACCGTAATAGTACATTGCATTGATTGGTGAATGTTTAAGATCCAACAATAGGATTTATTTAAAAGTGAAATTAAGGATTTCCCATATTTTGGCAGAGGCTAAAAAAACAAATTTTATTAGGTCCCCATGGTCTAGTTATACTGTGTGAACTGACCAGGAAAAACGGATACTGTAGGCTGTCACTGTAGTGTGCTCATAAAGGCTATCATGAAATGGTTTTTCCTGATCAGGTCACAGGGTCAGAATAACTACAACAGAAGTCAATTCTTAAATAACCACAACATGGCCAACTACCTAGCAATCCATTCCTTATTAGTCCTTCAGAGCTGTTAATTGTCTGTGTTGTTTGAGTGATGAGTTGGACTCTTTGGCTGTGTTTACACAGGCAGCCTATAATTCCGATAGTTTTCCACAATTTTTTATTTTTTATTTTAGTTTTTTGTGTACTTTTACCCCTTTTTCTCCCAAATTTCGTGATATCCAATTTGTAGTTACAGTCTTGTCCTATCGCTGCAACTCCCCTACGGACTCAGGAGAGGCGAAGGTCGAGAGCCATGCGTCCTCCGAAACATGACCCTGCCAAGCCGCACTGCTTCTTGACACACTGCTCGCTTAACCCGGAAGCCATCCGCACCAATGTGTCGGAGGAAACACCATCCAACTGGCGACCGATCAGATCAGCTCCTTTGCCAATAATTGGGCAAAAGATCAGAATTGGGCTGCCTGTGTAAACACAGCCATTGGCACTCTTGAAGTTGGCTCTACACTACTGGCAGGGATCTCTCCCATTAGACAGACATTACACAGAGATACTGTGGCCTAGCTCACTCAGTCAGTGTTTCCCAAAACGGTGGTCTCCCTGAGGGGTAGACAAGCTAGCTCCACAGGGGTTTTGAAAGAGACAAGAATCTGTAATGACAGATTTTGTAGTCTTGTATGACCTTAAGGCATTTTTATCTCATAGCTAGCGTGATGATCAACATTTTGGTCATCTGTACATGAACATTTACCAGTTGAGTATAAGGACACGAATAACAACTTTATTAAATTAACGTGAATGAGAGATGACCAGCCTTAAAAAATATGGGCAAAAGCGAAGCATTCAGCAGACATATTTTTGTAAATTCAGTGCACACTGTGCAGGGAGCTCTTAGGTCTTATTATGGGAAAGACTAGAGATTTCAAGCATGTGAAACTGGAGATCAGTTTCATTATTTAATGTAGCAAGGAGATATAGCACAAGCTCTCCTCAGAACAGTCTATGGCTTTCCTTACCAGTAGGATTAGATTAGACAGTTCTGTTATCATACTGTATGTCACTTTATTTCTCTGACTGTGATGATTGATTAAATGTTCTTACCTTATCAAAAAAGAGAGATGCACAGTTGTAGATCAGATTATGTTGTCTTACAGTCATCATCCTCTCCATTTCCCCTTAACATCATATCAACCCCTCTCCTATATCTTGGTCCTCCTCCAGGTCCAGCCAGAGAAAAGGACAGTTAAGGATGCAGGAGCACAACAATGGATTTCTCCTTCTCTTTCATGCAAGGGATCATGGGAAATACAATTCAACAACCCCCTCAGCTCATTGACTCAGCCAACATCCGGCAGGAGGGTGCATACGACACCGGCAGCGATGCGGGCGAGGACGGAGCCCCGTCCTACGACGCTGCCCTGGAGGCAGAGTTCTCCTACCCGCCCTCGGCCTCCGAGGACATGCCACCGGTCTCCAATGGTTACCCCCCTGGGCTGGGCCTGTACGAGCCCCAGGCCAAGTTCTCCATGTACCCCCAGTTCCCCAACGGCTCGGCCAATGGTTACGGGGCCATCCGGGGATATGGCGAACACTGCCTCATGCCTGGGGAGGGAACGGTCCTGAGGGCCCCTGTCCTCCAGGAGAGACCCCCCTCCCCTCTGTCTTCTCCTCCACCTTCACACCCCCACCTCCATCACCCTCATCACCACCATCCTCATCACTACCACCCTCAGCCCAACGCTCACCCACACAGCCCTCCACCCCTGCCCTCCCAACACCACCTCAGCCCGTCACCTCACCGCATGTCCCATGTACTCCCTCCTCCTCCCCCGTTACTCCTGCCCTCCACCAGCCCTCCCCCGTCCCTGCTGGACAGCACCCCTTCCTCCCACCCTCCTCACACCCCCCCTGCTCCCTCCATCGAGGTCCTGAAGAAGACCAGCTCTCCAGAGATCAAGCTAAAGATCATAAAGACGTACCAGAACGGGAGGGAGCTGTTTGAGTCTGCGCTGTGTGGAGACCTGCTGCAGGAGTCCCAGGCCAGCGAGGACTCCCAGAACCACCGCAGACATGAGAGGAAGAAGGAGAAGAGGAAAAAGACCGCCAGGGAGCAAGAAGAAGGAGAGGGGCAAGACCAGGAGCAGCTACAGGGGGGCACTGTAGGGCAGGCCAGGGACATCCAGCCACAGCTCCAGACCCACACCCAGGCCCAGACCCAGCCACAGGAGCTGCCTGTGGGGCAGACAGAAAAGCCACAGAAGACCCCCATCAAAGCAGAGCCCAAGACACCTAAGGCATGTGTTGGTTTGCTGCGACTCTGTCGGTTGAGGTCATCCAGTGCAATTGAGTTACTATTCAGTACTAAAAGAGTAACCGTTTCAACAGTTTCAGACATCAGACAAAGTAATGAGTCAGTGTGTTATTGCTTACACCCATCTGATTCTTTTAGATCTACAAAAAGTGTCTTGGGGGTAGGGCATGACTCCTGTCACTAACTGAGTGTGTGTGTGTTTCTCTCCCCCTGTACTGTAGGTCCAGAAGCAGTACCCTACAGTGATAACAGGTACAGGCTGCTGTAAGGACCACGAGGTGGGGGACCTGGTGTGGGCCAAGGTGGGCACCTACCCCTGGTGGCCCTGCATGGTCTCCTGTGACCCCCAGATGAACGTCCACACACGCATCAACACCCGGGGTAAAAATGATTCTACTCATGTCATCTTCCAGATATCCAGCACCTGTAGACATAACTGTTTAAAAGCCTCTAACTGCTGTATGACTGTGTCCTTCCGGGCCCTCTAGGTCACAGGGAGTACCATGTGCAGTTCTTTGGCAGCGTGGCGGAGCGGGCCTGGATCCATGAGAAGAGGGTGGTCATGTACCAGGGAGAACACCAGTTTGATGAGCTGCAGGCTGAGACGCTACGCAAGACCACCAACACCGCAGAGAGACACAAGGTAGAGACACAGCACTGCCTGGCCTGACAAGTATACCCACCTCACACTCTTGACACCGGTTTAAAGGGAAAAGGGCTGGCCTGTTTTCGAGGCTTGCACCATGACTTTTCTTCAAACATGAGATTTACAGTGAGGGAAAAAAGTATTTGAACCCCTGCTGATTTTGTACCTTTGCCCACTGACAAAGAAATGATCAGTCTATCATTTTAATGGTAGGTTTATTTGAACAGTGAGAGACAGAATAACAACAACAAAATCCAGAAAAACGCATGTCTAAAATGTTATAAATTGATTTGCATTTTAATGAGGGAAATAAGTATTTGACCCCCTCTCAATCAGAACGATTTCTGGCTCCCAGGTGTCTTTTATACAGGTAACGAGCTGAGATTAGGAGCACACTCTTAGTGCTCCTAATCTCAACTTGTTACCTGTATAAAAGACACCTGTCCACAGAAGCAATCAATCAATCAGATTCCAAACTCTCCACCATGGCCAAGACCCCAAAGAGCTTTCCAAGGATGACAGGGACAGGATTGTAGACCTACACAAGGCTGGAATGGGCTACAAGACCATCGGCAAGCAGCTTTTTGAGAAAGTGACAACAGTTGGTGCGATTATTCGCAAATGGAAGAAACACAAAAGAACTGTCAATCTCCCTCGGCCTGGGGCTCCATGCAAGATCTCACCTCGTGGAGTTGCAATGATCATGAGAACGGTGAGGAATCAGCCCAGAACTACACGGGAGGATCTTGTCAATGATCTCAAGGCAGCTGGGACCATAGTCACCAAGAAAACAATTGGTAACACACTACGCCGTGAAGGAATGAAATCCTGCAGCGCCCGCAAGGTCCCCCTGCTCAAGAAAGCACATATACAGGGCCGTCTGAAGTTTGCCAGTGAACATCTGAATGATTCAGAGGAGAACTGGGTGAAAGTGTTGTGGTCAGATGAGACAAATTGAGCTCTTTGGCATCAACTCAACTCGCCGTGTTTGGAGGAGGAGGAATGCTGCCTATGACCCCAAGAACACCATCCCCACCGTCAAACATGGAGGTGGAAACATTATGCTTTGGGGGTGTTTTTCTGCTAAGGGGACAGGACAACTTCACCGCATCAAAGGGACGATATACGACGGGGCCATATACCGTCAAATCTTGGGTGAGAACCTCCTTCCCTCAACCAGGGCATTGAAAATGGGTCGTGGATGGGTATTCCAGCATGACAATGACCCAGAACACACGGCCAAGGCAACAAAGGAGTGGCTCAAGAAGAAGCACATTAAGGTCCTGGAGTGGCCTAGCCAGTCTCCAGACCTTAATCCCATAGAAAATCTGTTTAGGGAGCTGAAGGTTCGAGTTGCCAAACATCAGCCTCGAAACCTTAATGACTTGGAGAAGATCTGCAAAGAGGAGAGGGACAAAATCCCTCCTGAGATGTGTGCAAACCTGGTGGCCAACTACAAGAAACGTCTGACCTCTGTTATTGCCAACAAGGGTTTTGCCACCAAGTACTAAGTAATGTTTTGCAGAGGGGTCAAATACTTATTTCCCTCATTAAAATGCAAATCAATTTATAACATTTTTGACATGCGTTTTTCTGTATTTCTTTGTTGTTATTCTGTCTCTCACTGTTCAAATAAACCTACCATTAAAATTATAGACTGATCATGTCTTTGTCAGTGGGCAAACGTACAAAATCAGCAGGGGATCAAATACTTTTTTCCCTCACTGTATGTAGTAGTGTACATACGTACAGGTATATGGGATTGTAGGTGAAGTAATGGGTATGTATGGGATTGAGCTGGTGTAGTGATTATGTTTTGCTGATATTGGCTATTTCATTTACATTTACGTCATTTAGCAGACGCTCTTATCCAGAGCGACTTACAAATTGGTGCATTCACCCTATAGCCAGTGGGATAACCACTTTACAATTTTACAATTTCGAAGAAAGGGCCTACTAAACTTAGTTGAATGCACTGACTGGATATGCTCATTTGCACCCCAGTATCTCTATTTGCACATCATCTCTTGCACATCTATCATTCCAGTGTTAATACTAAATTGTAATTATTTTGCACTATGGCCTATTTATTGCCTTACCTCCATAACTTGCTACGTTTGCACACACTGTATATATATTTTCTGTTGTATTTTTGACTTTATGTTTTGTTTACCGCATATGTAACTCTGTGTTGTTGTTTTTTATCGCACTGCTTTGCTTTATCTTGGCCAGGTCGCAGTTGTAAATGAGAACTTGTTCTCAACTGGCTTACCTGGTTAAATAAAGGTAAAATAAAAATAAGTGTCTTCAAAATGTAATTAAAATGTGTGTGTGTTTGTGTCAGCTGATGAAGCCCTTCCCCCAGAGAGAGCGTGCTCAGTGGGAGGTGGGCGTCGGCCATGCAGAGGACGCCTTCCTGATGACTCAGCAGGAACGTATCGACAACTACACCTTCATCTACGTCGACCCCGACCCCAATGCTCCCCCACCCGCCAAGAAGACCTCAACCAGGACCGCCGGTCGTACCCAACGCTCTTCTATCGCAACAAGTAAGAAAGAAGAAGTTGCAGTGACATCACCGGACCGGGCGGAGCCATCCAGAAGACAGCCTTGTAGGCAGTGTAGTGTTCCTAATGCAGATGACCCAGCCGTCCCCCAGACCTCAGAGAAAGACCAGAGCTGTGACCCTGGCCAGCCCAGCCCCCCTGCCCGGGAGGCCCTGTCTGAGGCAGGGGGAACCCAGGAGTCCCCTGCCCCTGTAAGGGCCTGGAAGACAGCCGCTGCCAGGAAGCTGCTGCCTCTCTCTATTACCATGAAGAAACTAAATGTGGAGATCACCAAGTGTGACCAAGTGTGGCCTCTGCTGCAGAGGAAAGCCCTGCCCTCACCACGGAGAGAGAGAGAGAGGGAGGAGGGAGAAGGCCGACAGGCTGACCTGGGATACTGCTCACCAGAGGTGGGTGCTCTCTATTGGTCTAGACTCCCTAGTTGACAATGGTGATGAATGTTGTTGTTGTTGCTCTAAACTGAATTGAAACATTATTTCTAAGTGGAGTTTTTGTTTCTCCAGCAGGGCTGTGGAGTTAAACCGGAACCCAGTCCAGAGGAGGAGGAAAAGAGGGATGAGGGAGAGGAGAAAGAGGACAGGGAGGAGAGGAGAAGTGACCAGGAAGCATCACAGCACACCTCCTGTCCTGGGTCTCAGCACAGCACCCCACCAGGTACGTACGTGTGTTTGGACGTTTTCTGGGTCCTCTGGTGATAACGGTTGTGAATATTCTGTTGGTGTGAATATGTTCCCCATATAGCAGAGGTGTTTAACCAGGTGTCTCCTTCCGGTAGGTTCTCAGGAGCGTAAGCAGCAGCGCAGGTCAGTGAGGAGCAGATCAGAGTCAGAGAAGGGCTGTGAGCCCGTCCCCAAAAAGAAGACTAAAAAGGAACAGGTACCAACCTGCTACTACCACTGTTCCCCTCTGTAATGTACCATACTGGTGGTTCTGTCACTCAGTTCTCTAGAGGAGGATCACAATACAACAGAGAGATCTGAAACAGATCTCTTTTTCTGTCTCCCTGCAGGGTGAGATGGCTCCTGAGACTACTCTGAGAACAGGCTCACAGAAAGGTAGACTCCAGCTCAGTCCTATGACTCTCTCTTTCCCATCCTGCTCTAAGCATACTGGCTTTGTTTAACGTGTTGGGTCATAAAAAGGGAAGCAGTGGTGTGGAGGTGTGTGTTAACCTGTGATGTGTGTGTGTAGGAGCCAGTGAGATCTCGGATGCCTGTAAGCCTCTGAAGAAACGCAGCAGAGCCTCCACAGACGTAGAGATGGCCTCCTCTCAGTACAGAGACACATCCGACTCTGATTCTAGAGGCCTCAATGATCCCCAGGTAAACACACACACACACACACACCAAGCTTTCAGTACTGAGACACCTCAGACCCTGACTTTAGAAGGCTAAATGACCTCAAGGTGTGTGTATATATATATATATATATATATATATATATATATATATATATATATATATATACACACACACACACAAAGCCCACTCTCTCTTGTGTAGAGTCTGTTTGGGAAGAGTTTGGACAGTCCAGCAGCAGCAGATGCAGACGCGTCAGACAGCCAGTCAGTGGACTCCAGTCTTTCCAGACAAGGAAGCAGCACAGCCAAGAGAGACACTGTCTGCCAGGTACGCCACTGCACTCCTCTCCCATCCCCTCCTCCTTTCTCCTCTTCTGTCTTTTCACCAAATTTTCTCTCTTCCCCTCTCTCTGTGATCATTTTAGAAGAAAGCAGAAGAAATATACACTGAACACAAATATAAGCGCAACAGGCAACAATTTCAAAGATATTACTGAGTTACAGTTCATATGAGGAAATCAGTCAATTGAAATAAATAAATTTGGCCCTAATGTAATCTATGGATTTCACATGACTGGGAATACAGATATGCATCTGTTGGTCACAGATACCTTTAAAAAAAGGTAGAGGAGTGGATCAGAAAAGCAGTCCGTATCTGGTGTGACCACCATTTGCCTCATGTAGTACGACACATCGCTGTTGATTGTGGCCTGTGGAATGTTGTCCCACTCCTCTTCAATGCTCCCGAGTGGTGCAGTGGTCTAAGGCACTGCATCTCAGTGCTTGAGGCATCACTACAGACCCCCTGGTTCGATTCCAGCCTGTATCACAACCGGCCGTGATTGGGAGTCCCATAGGGCGGCGCACAATTGGCCCAGCGTCGTCCGGGTTTGGCCGGTGTAGGCCGTCATTGTAAATAAGAATTTGTTCTTAACTGACTTGCCTAGTTAAATAAAGGTAAAATATTTTTTAAATGGCTGTGCGAAGTTGCTGGATATTGGCGGGAACTGGAACATGCTATTGTACACGTCGATGAAGAGCCTCCCAAACATGCTCAATGGGTGGACATGTCTGGTGAGTATGCAGGCCATGGAAGAACTGGGACATTTTCAGCTTCCAGAAATTGTGTACAAATCCTTGCGTCATGGGGCCATGCATTATGATGCTGAAACATGAGGTGATGGCGGCGGCTGAATGGCACGACAATGGGCCTCAGGATTTTGTCACGGTATCTCTGTGCGTTCAAATTGCCATCGATAAAATGACATTTTGTTAGTTGTCCGTAGCTTATGCCTGCCCATACCATTACCCCACCGCCACCATGGGGCACTCTGTTCACAACGTTGACATCAGCAAACCGCTTGCCCACACAACCCCATCTGCCCAGTACAGTTGAAACCAGGATTAATCTGTGAAGAGCACACTTCCTTCTCCAGTGTGCCAGTGGCCATCGAAGGTGAGAATTTGCCCACTGAAGTCGGTTGCGACGCCGAACTGCAGTCAGGTCAAGACCCTGGTGAGGATGACGAGCACGCAGATGAGCTTCCCTGAGACGGTTTCTGACAGTTTCTCTGTGTAGAACTGTAAGGTGTATGTATGGAGAGGGTTGGGTGTTTCTATATCTTCCTCTGTGTGTAGATCTGTGAGGTGTATGGAGAGGGTCTGGTGTCGTGTGAGGGAGACTGCTGTCGGCTGTTCCATCTGGAGTGCCTGGGTCTCGCCTCCATACCCGAGGGCAAGTTTACATGTCTGGAATGTAGAAACGGTGAGACATGGCATGATGTCGCAACACATACACGATGCATTTACATACTAATCATTACTAGACCTACACAACCATTAGACATGTTCTCTTTAATTGCTCCTTTAATCTTTACAGTATCATTTTGGCTGAAATGGTTGAAAGGATTATTTAAGTTATTCCAGGACACATCCTTCTACTTTGTGAATGCTGATGAAGCTGTGGGTGTGAACAGAGAAGACTGCTTAAGCCCTGATTATGCAAATTACCTTACAGACAAATATTTCTGTGTGATTTCAACCCGGCAGACATGAGAGATTTCTCTGATGGAGGAATGAAGAGTAGACTGGCATTCACCTCTCTCTCTCTCTCTCTCTCTCTCTCTCTCTCTCTCTCTCTCTCTCTCTCTCTCTCTCTCTCCTCTCTCCTCTCTCTCTCTCTCTTCTCTCTCTCTCTCTCTCTCTCTCTCTCTCTCTCTCTCTCTCTCTCTCTCTCGCTAGGCTCTCACTCGTGTTTCAGCTGTAAGGCAGGGGGAGGGGAGGTGTTGCGCTGCTCAGTGGTTGGCTGCGGGCGGTATTACCATGACGACTGCGTGCGTAAACTCCCTGGCACTGTGGGGGGTGGTACAGGCGGGGGGTTCCGCTGCCCCCAGCATACCTGTGCCACCTGCTGTCTGGAGAGAGACCTGCACCAAGCCACCAAAGGTAGGGAGGAAGACCACTGGTCTAGATGGAGAGGAGCGGAAGCCACTTTAGGCTTTTGACATGGCCCCTCACATACTGTAGGTGTTAGTCTCTCTTTGTCTAACACTCGTCTCTCCTTCCTCTCCCCCTCCCCAGGACGTATGATGCGTTGTCTGCGCTGCCCTGTTGCGTACCACACAGGGGACAGCTGTGTGGCAGCGGGCAGCGTGGTCCTCACCCACCACATCATGATCTGCAGCCGCCATGGCATCGCCAAGAGGAACGGCCTCCTCTCCTCACCCGTCAATGTGAACTGGTGCTTCCTCTGTGCCCGAGGTAAGCTCTATCTCCCACCTTAGACCTCCTGTAGGGACCCACCCTGACTCACTCACCCTTTCTGTGTCCCAAATGGCACTATATTCCCTATATAGTGCACTACTTTTGACCAGGGCCCCTGACCCATTGTCTCCCGAAGGGGAGCCCCGTGGCTTCACAATGTTTGACTGGAGGACAGAAGGAGAAGCAGGAGAGAGGAATGTGGCTTTGTTCTCCCCCTGAGACTTCTGGACACAGTGTTTGAGTGAATAGAGCCCTAGCTCCAACTCCTTCTGTTCCTCTCAGGTGTAAGGGTTAGCCAGCGCTCCCCCTCTCCAAATCTAATCCCCTCTAATCCAGTCTTCTCTTATCATTCAAACTGTATTTATCCCCCTAGTGGTAATTGATGTGTGTGATGCTCTCTCTGGGACCACAGAGGCTTAGCTGGGGAGACTACTGGTGTTGGTTGATCTTTCTCAACTCAGTGCTCCTCAGTAGTCCTCAAAACCGCAGACTCCTATCCCAGGGTAAGGCGGCTGTTAGACCTGGGCTAAGTGCAGTGTGAACGTGGCTATTCGAAGAACTGGATATCTAACATTGTCTAGTTGTGTGATGGTGGAGATTCATTCAACCTTTATGATAGTTACGATGCATTCTCCTGTTTGTAAATGTATTTGTGACATTTGACCATTACTGTTGTCTCTGTTGTACTTACCATTTGGACCTGATGTGGTAGTGCCTTCAGAAAGTATTCATAACCCTTGACTTATTCCACATTTTGTGTTACAGCCTGAATTCAAATGGATTAAATTTTTTTTTTTCTCACCCACCTACACATAATACCCCATTATGACAAAGTGAAAACATAATTTTAAAAATGATTGGAAATGAAATACAGAAATATCTCATAAGTATTCACACCCCTGAGTCAATACATGTTAGAATCACCTTTGGCAGCGATTACAGCTATGAGTCTCTTTCTGGGTAAGTCTGGATTATACAATATTTGTCCATTCTTTTTAAAACTCTTCAAGCTCTGTCAAGTTGGTTGTTGATCATTGCTAGCCATTTTCAAGTCTTGCCATAGATTTTCAAGCCGATTTAAGTCAAAACTAACTCAGCCACTCAGGAACATTCAATGTCGTCTTGGTAAGCAACTCCAGAGTATATTTGGCATTGTGTTTTAGGTTATTGTCCTGCTGAAAGGTGAATTTGTCTCCCAATGTCTGTTGGAAAGCAGGCTGAACCAGGTTTTCCTCAAGGATGTTGCCTGTGCTTAGCTCTATTCCATTTATTTTTATCTTTAAAAACTCCCTATTCCTTGCCAATGACAAGCATACCCATAACATGATGCAGCCACCACCACGCTTGAAAATATGAAGAGTGGTGCTCTGTGATGTGTTGTGTTGGATTTCCCCCAAACGTAATGCTTTGTATTCAGAACAAGTTAATTTCTTTGCATATTTTTTTGTTGTTGCAGTTTTACTTGAGTGCCTTTATTGCAATCACAGCCGTTAAACTCTGTAACTGTTTTAAAGTCACCATTGGCCTCATGGTGAAATCCCTGAGTGGTTTCCTTCCTCTCCGGCAACTGAGTTAGGAAGGACCCCTGTATCTTTGGGTGTATTGATACACCATCCAAAGTGTAATTAATAACTTCACCATGCTCAAAGGGAAATTCAATGTCTGGTTTTTTTATCTACCAATAAGTGCCCTTCTTTGCGAGGCATTGGAAAACTTCCCTGGTCTTTGTGGTTGAATCTGTGTTTGAAATTCACTGCTTGACTGAGGGACCTTATCGCTAATTATGTGTGGGGTACAGAGATCAGGTAGTCATTACAAAAATCATGTTAAACACTATTATTGCACACAGTGAGTCCATGCAACTTATTATGTGACTTGTTAAGCAAATGTTTACTCCTGAACTTATTTAGGCTTGCCATAAAAAAAGTGGTTGAATACTTATTGACTCAAGACATTTCAGCTTTTCATTTTTTAATAATTTGTTAAAATTTCTAAAAACATAATTCCACTTTGATGTTATGGGGTATTGTGTCTAAGCCAGTAATCCATTTGAAATTCAGGCTGTAATACAACAAAATGTGAAAAAGTCAACGGGGGTGAACACTTTCTGAAGCCGCTTTATATGTACTGATCTGTGCTTTTACAGTGCACTCCTCTTACAAGAAATACATCTGTTCTGGATGATTAGACTTTTCTAACTGATTTGATTACGGAGTACATTGTAAGTGTAGAAATATTTTGGTCCCCATGGGTACCAAAAGCAGTTGATTCTTATAAGCGGAGTGTTCTATTGGGACGACTCTTTAGTTTACTTTTACTCCTCTTTCTCTCTCGTTTATGTGTTCTAACAGTGTATGTGTTCTTTTTCTCCTGTGGTATCATGGGTACTGTAGTCTGATTGCGGCTCACCCAGTCTCTTCCTGTGTGTCTTGTGTAGGACTGTTAGTGCAGGACCTTACTGACACCATATTAAGTTCATATGCCTATAAGTCCCACTACCTTCTGACTGAGTCAAATCGTGCTGAGTTGAAATTACCTATGATTCCCTCTTCTTCGTCAGCTACCAAAAAGAATATTGGGAAAGGTAACAGAACTGTTTTACTCGCTCTCCCGTTTCCCACTGGTGTGTGTGTATGTGTGTTTGAATATGTCTAGACTCCCCACAGTTGATTTGATGTTCCTCCTTATTGCTTTGTTCTGCCTCTAGCTTGTGAACAATACAGTCTGCTGCCATTAACACTACAGCAGGGCTTAAAATACATGTTCAGGGACCCTAACATGCACTGGTTCAACCAGGAACCAGTGTTAACGGCATTAAAAGTGAGCAAAGCTCATCTCTGTGAAGCTGTGGAATGTGACACTCCTCTCCAATACAAACTAATTTAGCAGACGCTCTTATCCAGAGCGACTTAGTTAGTGAGTGCATACATATATTTTTTATTTTTTTCATACTGTCCCCCTGTGGGAATTGAACCCACAACCCTGGCGTTGCAAGCCCCATGCTCTACCAACTGAGCTACACGGGCCCAACTGAGCTACACAAAAGGGAATTTGTATAAGCGGACCACAGCACACTGTAACATAACACATAATTTGATTTCATCATCAGAATTGGGAAAGAGTGATGACCTGTCTCACAGGGTTATTTTACGCCCTGTCTGTATGAGGGGGGGCATGTTACTGCTAGAGGAACACAGCTTCTCTGCTTCAGCACTTTGAGCTTGTCGTCATCTGAAAGACTAATACTAATAGCTACTTTTTCTAACTGCTCACTTGCTTCTCTTTTGCTTTCACTGTACCGCGATCAGCCTTTACCTTGATCGGTCACTGTACCGCGATCAGCCTTTACCTTGATCGGTCACTGTACCGCGATCAGCCTTTACCTTGATCGGTCACTGTACCACGATCAGCCTTTACCTTGATCGGATGTTTGCGGTCTTGTTTTGCTGTGTTAAGGAGGTAATTGTTACAATACATATTGATTCTGCATTGAAATGCAGTTAATTCAAATAGGTTATTGCTCATAACAGGTATAATATTCCTCACAAGATCATCAATTTGATGAATAAATCAAAACTGGGAATGTTTGAATAAGATGCTGACAATCTTCCTTCTAGTTGGCATATAATGTGAATTGTTACTCATCAATGATGTTACCCATTTGGCATTTAAAACACTTCCACAACCACATATTTAAATGAGATTCCATAAAGACTATCTGGGGTACGTATAGTGGTGCAGAGAAGTGGAACAAGGAGTGCATGTCAGCTTTGTGCCGTTTCTCTTATATTTTGGTAATTGTTTTTTTTTGTGACTTATGGTTTATTTGCTGATTTAATTATCATCGGTGCTATTGCATGTGTGGTGATTTGTACAAGGGGCCTTGTACTCTAAACCTGCCTTTCAGACATTCCACTACACCATCAGTGACTGACTGCTAAGGAAAAAGCAGAGGACAGCATCAATGTCAAGACTACTCTCTTTGATCAAAATTGTGTCCACAACAGCATAGTTTTCATATAGATAAAGCAAACTTTATTATATTGTGGGAGTTACAAATTATTCCACCATTGTGAATCCTTTGGAAAAGGGTCACTTCAGGCCCATATGATGGTCCAGTTCAAAATAAATACCTATCCTTAGACATATCCCATACATATGAAAGGAGCGTATGGGTGTAAGCAATGTCACAATGACTCCTCCAACTCTCTGGAAGACCATATTACTTACTTGGGCCAAATAATTGATATTATATTGACAAGATGGTCGAGTGACCGTATAGTCGTTTTTGTTTAGTTTTTTGTTGTTGCCGAAATGCCACGTGTCCACTTACATCAGTGCATTCCTAACGACCTAACCATTACGAAACTTCTATTTGATCAAATAAGCCTCACGTAGCAAATTAGCAATTACATTTTTTGTTGATCAAATTCGACACGCTCATTGACCTCCATACAAAAATTCCTCACTTCATGGTCTTATTTTCGTGGACTGATTTTGGGCGGAGTAAATCCTCTCGCTTCGCTTCTTCCTCTGCTTGGGCAAAGCATTACTCACAGTGTATAGGTTTGAATGACTGGCATGCCTAAGGATAAGGTTTAGAGTGTGGTGGCCCCTAGTGTCCAGGTGTGGAAGTATGTTCTCTAACCCTGTGCTGCTCTTTTCTCTATACACACACACACACACACCCATGCAGGAGAGAAGCTGCTGTGCTGTGCGTTGTGCCCGGCGTCGTTCCACCCAGAGTGTTTGGAGATGGCGATGCCAGAGGGGGCGTGGTCCTGCAGGGAGTGCAGATTAGGAAAGAAACCCCACTACAAACAGATCGTCTGGGTCAAACTGGGGAACTACAGGTGAGTTGATGCACACCCAAAAGATGTTGGAGAGGTGCTGACTATTGGTATAGTAAACGTACTGTATGTAAAAAATATAATAATAATCATAATGATAGTCGCACACTCCAAATATTCTCCCAATAATTGAATGGATAAACACCAATAGTGTTTACACTTTATGTTATTGAGAGCATATTTAGTGTGAAACTACAGCTGAGGAACAACACAACTCGGAATATGTGGAAACAACATTGTTGCTAGATGCAGAAACAGGATGAGAGTGGCATATTACTGTACACTACGAAGGGTTCATGTATTTCAGAAACTAGTTTTAGAATCAGATGTTTGGCTTAATTGTTAGGAAAACGACAACACTTATAGCTGTATCTTATGGACTGATAAGCGCTCTTTCTTTCCTCATGTTCCATGCTGTCCCCTGTCTGTCCCCATCAGGTGGTGGCCAGCGGAGATCTGTAACCCTCGCCTGGTGCCCCCCAACATCCAGACGCTCCGCCACGATATCGGAGACTTCCCAGTCTTCTTCTTTGGTTCCCATGACTACTACTGGATCAACCAGGGCCGTGTGTTTCCCTACGTGGAGAACGACAAGACCCCTGTCACGGGCCAAATCAACATCAACAAGACCTTCAAGAAAGGTGATGCCGCCTTTGGCTCTATTCTGTGCTCTCTGCTCTGGGCTCTGTTGGTTCTTGAGTGATATGATAGTGCCTTATCCCTGAGTGTGTGTGTGTGTGTGAGACAGGCAGAATGTAATTCCATCCCTTCTGTGTGTGTCAGCTCTGGAGGAGGCTGCTCGGAGGTTCCAGGAGCTCAAGTCACAGAGGGAGAGCAGGGAGGCCCTGGAGCAGGAACGCAACTCACGCAAACCACCACCATACAAGTTCATCAAGGTAATACATCCAGTCATACTGTATATAGCCCTACCCTACAAACATATACCTTCCCTACAAATCTTCTGGGACTGTGAAGAGACACACACAGGCACAGATACACGCATATACACACACGAAAACATACGCACTCTACACACACACACCTATACATGTATTTTGTGTTGTAGATATGTGGTAGTAAAGTAATGGCCTGAGGGCACACACTTAATCTGTTGTGAAGGGTATTATGTTTTTTAAAATGGTGTATAACTGACTTAATTTTGCTTCACCCCTGAAAGAGTAGCTGCTACCTTGGCAGCAGCTAATGGGGATCCATAATAAATACGAAGTCTTGCTTTGCCAAGCAAACTGAGAATTGGCTCTTTTAGCTGAATGAGACCTCTTTAGATCTCATCTGTGACCATGTGTGTTGGTCTGAGTCTTGGTGTGTCCTCACTGACACATTGTTGTCATGTCTCTTTCAGTCCAACAAGCCGGTGGGGAAGGTGCAGGTGCACATAGCCGACCTGTCTGAAATCCCACGATGCAACTGTAAGCCCACGGACGAACACCCCTGCAGCCTGGACTCCCAATGTCTGAACCGCATGCTGCAGTACGAGTGTCACCCACAGGTTGGTGTGTCTGTGTGTACGCACGTGTGTATGCGTGTGTGAATGGTGTTTAAATCAGCCCTGTTCTCCTGTCCTAGGTGTGTCCAGCAGGTGATAGCTGTGAGAACCAATGCTTCTCTAAACGTCTGTACTCCGAGACAGGGGTCATCAAGACAGAGGGTTGTGGCTGGGGCCTCAAGACCAACCAGGCCCTCAGGAAGGTGAGTGAGGGGCGCTGGGGTGGACGTAGTGTGGTGCCCAGGTCTATTTCTATCCTTTGCCACTCATCTTTAAGTGTTCACTGATATTAGCAACACTGTGAAGGCTCCACCTAGCCTGTCATATTGTTTGTACCTATCCAGACCTTTCATATGCGAACGGGATAAGGGCTAGAGACCAAAATGGAAGCGAGCCTGTTGTGTATAGATCAGAGATTATGGTTAATATCCGTCCGCTCAAAAGGACTGTGAGCTCTCGTTCTTCTTGGCTGATGTGAGTAAGATATTTAAGCCCAGACGGCATCCCAAGCCGTGTCCTCAGAGCATGTGCAGACCAGCTGGCTGGAGTGTTTACGGACATATTCAATCTCTCCCTATCCCAGTCTGTTGTCCCCACTTGCTTCAAGATATCTGCCATTGTTCCTGTACCCAAGAAAGCGAAGGTAACCGAACTTAATGACTATCGCCCCGTAGCACTCACTTCTGTCTTCATGAAGTGCTTTGAGAGGCTATTTGACGAACATATCACCTCCACCTTACCTGACACACTACAATTTGCATACAACATATCCACGGATGACGCAATCGCTCTGCACACTGCTCTATCCCATCTGGACAAGAGGAATACCTATGTAAGAATGATGTTCATCGATAACAGGTCAGCCTTCAACACCATAGTGCCATCCAAGCTCATCATTAAGTTCAGGGCCCTGGATCTGAACCCCGCCCTGTGCAACTGGGTCCTGGACTTCCTGATGGACCGACCTCAGGTGGTGAAGGTAGGCAACACCTCCGATACGCTGATCCTCAACACGGTGGCCCTCCTGTACTCCCTGTTCACACATGACTGCGTGAATGCTCACGTCTCCCAACTCAATCATCAAGTTTGCAGACGACACAATAGTGGTAGGCCTGATTACCAACAACGACGAGACAGCATACAGGGAGGAGGTGAGGGCCCTGGCAGAGTGGTGGCAAGAAAATAACCTCTCCCTCAACGTCAACAAAATGAAGGAGCTAATCGTGGACTTGAGGAGACAGCAGAGAGAGCATGCCCCCATCCACGTCGACAGGGCCACAGTGAAGAGAGTTCCTCAGCGTGCACATCACTGACAACCTGAAACAGTCCATCCACACAGACAGTGTGGTGAAGAATGCGCAGCAACGCCTCCTCAACCTCAGGAGGCTGAAGAAATTTGGCTTGGCCCTTAAGACCCTCACAAACTTCTACAGATGCACCATTGAGAGCATCCTGTCGGGCTGTATCACTGCCTGGTATGGCAATTGCACTGTCTGCAACCGCATCACCAGGGGCACACTCCCTGCCCTCCAGGACATCTACAGCACCCGGTGTCACAGGAAGGCCAAGAAGATCATCAAGGACCTCAGCCACCCGAGCCACGGCCTGTTCACCCCACTACCATCTAGAAGGCAGAGACGATACAGGTGGATCATTGCTGGGACCGAAAGACTGAAAAACAGCTTCTATCTCCAGGCCATCAGACTGTTAAATAAACACCACTAGCCATCCTCCGACCAGTACCCTGCCCAGAACTTAGTCACTGTTACTAACCGGCTACCACCCGGTACTCTACCCTGCACCTTAGAGACTGCTGCCCTATGTACATAGTCATTGAACACTGGTCACTTTTAATAATGTTTTAATAATGTTAATAATGTTTTACTCACTTCATGTGTGTATACTGTATTCTAGTCAAGGCTCATCCTTGGGGGGAAAAAAGTATTTGATCCACTGCTGATTTTGTTTGTTTGCCCACTGACAGACATGATCAGTCTATAAGTTTAATGGTAGGTTTATTTGAACAGTGAGAGACAGAATAACAACAAAGAAATCCAGAAAAACACATGTCAAAAATGTTATAAATTGATTTGCATTTTAATGAGGGAAATAAGTATTTGACCCCTCTGCAAAACATGACTTAGTACTTGGTGGCAAAACCCTTGTTGGCAATCACAGAGGTCAGATGTTTCTTGTAGTTGGCCACCAGGTTTGCACACATCTCAGGAGGGATTTTGTTCCACTCCTCTTTGCAGATCTTCTCCAAGTCATTAAGGTTTTGAGGCTGATGTTTGGCAACTCAAACCTTCAGCTCCCTCCACAGATTTTCTATGGGATTAAGGTCTGGAGACTGGCTAGGCCACTCCAGGACCTTAATGTTCTTCTTCTTGAGCCACTCCTTTGTTGCCTTGGCCGTGTGTTTTGGGTCATTGTCATGCTGGAATACCCATCCACAACCCATTTTCAATGCCCTGGCTGAGGGAAGGAGGTTCTCACTCAAGATTTGACGGTACATGGCCCCGTCCATCGTCCCTTTGATGCGGTGAAGTTGTCCTGTCCCCTTAGCAGAAAAACACCCCCAAAGCATAATGTTTCCACCTCCATGTTTGACGGTGGGGATGGTGTTCTTGGGGTCATAGGCAGCATTCCTCCTCCTCCAAACACGGCGAGTTGAGTTGATGCCAAAGAGCATCTGACCACAACACTTTCACCCAGTTCTCCTCTGAATCATTCAGATGTTCATTGGCAAACTTCATACGGCCCTGTATATGTGCTTTCTTGAGCAGGGGGACCTTGAGGGCGCTGCAGGATTTCAGTCCTTCACGGCGTAGTGTTACCAATTGTTTTCTTGGTGACTATGGTCCCAGCTGCCTTGAGATCATTGACAAGATCCTCCCGTGTAGTTCTGGGCTGATTCCTCACCGTTCTCATGATCATTGTAACTCCACGAGGTGAGATCTTGCATGGAGCCCCAGGCCGAGGGAGATTGACAGTTATTTTGTGTTTCTTCCATTTGCGAATAATCGCACCAACTGTTGTCACCTTCTCACCAAGCTGCTTGGCGATGGTCTTGTAGCCCATTCCAGCCTTGTGTAGGTCTACAATTTTGTCCCTGACATCCTTGGAGAGCTCTTTGGTTTTGGCCATGGTGGAGAGTTTGGAATCTGATTGATTGCTTCTGTGGACAGGTGTCTTTTTATACAGGTAACAAGCTGAGATTAGGAGCACTCCCTTTAAGAGTGTGCTCCTAATCTCAGCTCGTTACCTGTGTAAAAGACACCTGGGAGCCAGAAATCTTTCTGATTGAGATGGGGTCAAATACTTATTTCCCTCATTAAAATGCAAATCAATGTATAACATTTTTGACATGCGTTTTTCTGGATCTTTTTGTTATTCTGTCTCACTGTTCAAATAAACCTACTATTAAAATTATAGACTGATCATTTCTTTGTCAGTGGGCAAAGGTACAAAATCAGCAGGGGATCAAATACTTTTTTCCCTCACTGTAACTACCGCTGTGCACAACTTTTCTATTCATATACTGTCCATAATGTCTATACACACCACCATATACACATATATTCTGGACTCTGACTTTTCTCGTTCGGATATTTCTTAATTCCTTTCTTTTTATTTTGTTGTGTATTGTTAGGTATTACTGCACTGTTGGAGCTAGAAACATAAGCATTTTGCTGCACCTGCGATAACATGTGTATGCGACCAATAAAATTGTATTATATAACACCACAGGTATGCTTTGTTGTAAGTCATGTGTATTGTGTATCTTATGTCCTCTGTTCCACAGGGAGATTTTGTGACAGAGTACGTGGGAGAGGTGATAGATTCAGAAGAGTGCCAGCAGCGAATCAAACGCGCTCATGAGAACCGTGTGACTGACTTCTACATGCTCACCCTCACCAAGGTAACAACGTACAGGCTGTGTCCCAACAGTTTGGAATGGTCTCCTTTACTTGACCCCTACACCTCATGACCAGTAATACATACAGTGCATTCGGAAAGTATTCGGATTCTCTGGTCTGATGAAACCGAGAATGAACTCTTTGGCATGAATGTCAAACGACCCTAAGCACACAGCCAAGACAACTCTCTGACTTGAACCCGTTCGAACATCCAACCTGACAGAGCTTGAGAGGATCTGCAGAGCAGAATGGGAGAAACTCCCCAAATACAGGTGTGCCAAGCTTGTACCGTCATACCCAAGAAGACTTGAGGCTGTAATCGCTGCCAAGGGTGCTTCAACAAAGTACTGAATAGAGGGTCTGAACACTTATGTAAATGTGTTATTTCATTTTATTTTTTATATATTTTTTTGCTAGAATTTATAAAAACCTGTTTTTGCTTTGTCATTATGGGCTATTGTGTGTAGATTGAGGGGGGGGAAACAATTTAATCCATTTTAGAATAAGGCTGTAACGTAACAATGTGGAAAAAGTCAAGGGGCCTGAATACTTTCCGAATGCATTGTAGTATGTGTATGAATCTGTTAAGCTATGTGTCTCTCTCTTTTCAGTAGTGTGCGTCGCTTGGCTGTGTGTGTGGGGGTCTAACTGTGTGCATACGTGCGTGTGTGTGTGTATGTCTAAGTGCCTGTGTGTGTTCCTCAGGACCGGGTGATTGACGCGGGTCCCAAAGGGAACTCCTCTCGCTTCATTAACCACAGCTGCAGCCCCAACTGTGAGACGCAGAAATGGACTGTCAACGGAGATGTACGGATAGGGCTCTTCACCCTGTGTGACATAGATGCTGGTGAGGAGAGCGACACGCACACGTTCTGTATTTTTGGTGATTGATTTCTCTGATCGATCTCATCTCTCCTGCAGACACGGAGCTGACATTTAACTATAATCGTGTGTGTTCTGCAGGCACTGAGTTGACGTTTAACTATAACCTGGACTTGGTGGGGAATAGAAGGTCATCGTGTCACTGTGGAGCTGAGAACTGCTCTGGCTTCCTAGGGGTGCGGCCTACGGTACGGGACACGCCCACATTCTCTCTCCTTATTATGACTGCATCATGTAGGAATCAAGTAACATGTTACTGGTGTCTCACCTTAGCAGAACGCTTCTGTCCATGGTTTGTCTGCAATGTTGTATAGTCTTATAGAAGCGGGCCTAACAGGGTTTACATCTCTTCTCTCTCTTTTAACAAGGTACATTTTCAGAATGTCTCTTCTCAGAAGGTCATATAAACCATATTGCTAATAATAAATGATGACAATGGATTAAGAGCTATTGCTCCTACAGCTACAGTATCCTATTTGACTGTTTAGGCTTAGATATCTGTTAAGGGGGGGGTTTACAGGGAGGGTGGTTTACAGGGAGGGTTTTCTGGGTGGGAATGACCGGTGAGTTTCCCTGTGGGTCCTGCTTTTTGTTACACATCCATGGGCTTATCAACAGTAAAGATAACAATTATATCATTAATATAACATTCCTTTCTGAAAAACAATGGCAACACTAGCTATTCTCTCTTGGAATATGAAAGGCTTAAATTGCCCTATCAAACGTTCAAGCTGTCTTGATATCCCAGCAAGAAAGCATATTGATATAGAAATGCTCCAATAAACACAGCTGCTCCATAAGGACACACACAGAATGCACAACCATTTGTACAAACTGGCTGCTTTTTCATCAGACTCAAACAAAAGGTGTAATCATAATGATACATAAGAAATTCAACCACCATCTTGGGTAAGGGCGAAGACCAAAAAGGCAGAAACACTTTCCTTAAATGGATCCATAATGGAAAGAAAATTGCCTTTATTAATGTGTATGCTACAAATTCATATGATTCTACGTTTTTTGATTCTCTGAACAGCATAGTGTTAGAATTATCTGAATTCCATCTGGTTATTGGGACAGACATGAATGCCATTTTGGACATGCAGGACAAATCTATTAAGACTAACTACAATCCACACGCAACCAAGGCTCTCCAACATACAGTATACTCTGATTACAACCTCATGTTTGCAAGCACATAATCCAAAAGCGAACGAGTACACTTTCTACTCAAACAGGCATAAAACATTCTCCCCAATCGATTTTATATTATCTACACCTCTATTTTGTACAATTATGAACATAGAAATTCGACATATGAGCTTGACCGATCACCCCGCCTACTACTGCCAATTACAAAATGTCAGAATCTCCTAAAAGAGCAACAAGATGGCGTTTCATTACTACAAAATCCTACATTCTGTGATCAATTTGAAGTTGAACTAAGTTCATTCTTAATGATTAATACAAATTCAGTCGATGAACCCCGGATTCTATGTGATGCCACCAAAGGTTTTATTCAAAATAATACAACTGCATTTCCATCTATGTATTGGTAAGACAGAGAGCAGAATTTGCCATCCATGGAGTTAGACTCAACCATTACTTCCATGGTCATTGTCCCAGTCGTTTACTGGCCAACAAGCTACGCAGTAAGCTTAGCTGATACAGCAACTATTGAATCTGAAATAGGGGAATTCATATCAGAACCCAAATTAATAAAAGATTCTCTCACTTCTATAAAGAACTGTACACCCCAGATTGTTAATCCTCAACATAGGAAGCCACCTCCCTGGGAGCCCAAATCTTTCTCAATGAACTGAAATGAGCATTGGATAGCATGAATAAAGGCAAATCACCTGGATGGGATGGTATTCCCCCCCAAGGTGTATTTAAAAATGTGGAATCAATTAGGTCCACTATTGCTCAATGATTAACACAGCTGTACACAAAGGTTCATTTGGGAGAGATGTGAATACAGAACTCATTTCTAATTATCTTTGATAAACAGATATTAAACAGTTTTCAAATTTGTTGTCGTCCCGTCTCGAAGACTTACTTACACAAATTGCTTACCCAAATTGGTCCACAAAAAAAATGTTTATCCTCCGTTGACTATTACATATCTTATAGCTCAGACACACTGGTAGGATTGTCAAACGTTTGCCTGCCAACTGTACTTAGCATTTCTGAACAGAGTGTCGACAGTCAATCTCTTTTGTGTTCACACAGCAAAGACCTTGGAAGTTGTCAGCCACTCAGCCTTGTTAAAATAATAAAAACCAGAAGGTGGCAGTAGCGTTGTTTGGCCTTAGTGTTGTGTGCATTGCGTCTGTGCACTTAGCTAGGTACAATCCCATAGCCTACATTGTCCTTACAAATGTATTAATTTTTTTAACTGCAGTAAAAGTGCAGTAACGGCAGTCGACTGTGGTATTTTGGACTCTAGTTGCATACTAGCTGCAGTTATACTGCACTCTGACTACAATCTTTTTTTCCGTAAGGGTGCATATTAAGTATGACTGGCTCATCCATGGATGTACGAAGAAAATGCCCTCTTTTTTTTGTTTTGTTGGCTCCCCCACGTGAGGGTTCGTGCTCTCCGATTGGCTCAAATTCAAGTTGTTGGTCACTGACGAGCATTGCGATTCTACAAGTAGAATCTGTAGGTTCATCGCAGTGTTGTAGACCGGTCTCGAGTCCCGTCTCGAGACCACATATTGAGTGTCTCAGTGTCGGATACATTTGTACTCGGACTTGACTCTGTCTCGGACAGTGAGGACTCGTAATTCCTTCCCGAGACCAGCGGAGTAAAAAAAACGTCCATTCAGTCAGCGCATAAAAACTCTAAGCCAGACCAAATATTCTTGAATCATTATTACAGTATCTTAACAGTCTTCATATCTATTATAGACATGTTTGCGCTGTGGCGAACCTATAGGCCTTCAGTGTGTGACCGGTTCGTGATTCTGCAAGGACAGTAACCGTAATACTGTGGCGGTGACGAAATTTCGTCAGCCGGTGATTGTCAAACAAATAACTGTCGGTCTCATGGTAATTTACCATTAATTAACATAAACACATTTAGCATCTCCTGGCTTCCACACATAGCCTACAAGCCACTGATGCAGACCTTTGGAAGATCTACATTTAAAAAAGTCTAATAAAACCATGTAATATAGCCTACACCTTCACAATATATCCATTATTTATTTTAGACAGGTCTAAAGAAGCATGAAGAAAATGTAGTCTATTTCAGAAGAACAGAATAGCCTACTCTGAGTTGTCCTTATGTTAGGTCCTGATCTGGCTATGCCAAATGCCTGTGGGCTACACTAGCTCATTTGGCAGACAAGATTTGCTTAGAATTCCATGGCATTATTTTATAGTATGAAGAATCCCTGAGTGCTGCGCGCTCCGAAGCGCCTCTCACTCACATGGCTCTCCATCATGTGATCGGGTCTTTCTCACAGGCTACAGGTGAAGACAGACACATCGGGGACGCAACTGCAGTATGAAAAAATAATTTAAAAAATGTGTGCACTCACTAACTAAGTCGCTCTGGATAAGAGCGTCTGCTAAATGACTAAAATGTAAAACATTTCCTTATCCAATTCCGAGATGCATATTGAAGATATTGGAAGAACAGTCCACATTTACTTTTCGTCAGCCAACAAGATGAGTAGGCCTAACGAACAGCAAAAGCACTAGCCTATGTCAATCTACTATCCCCCATAGTACAAAAGTTGACCTATTCTCTGCGATAAATAAATATTCCGAACATAGTCTGGGACAGTTGTGGGATGCGATAGATCCCAAATTAATACAACTACTAGCATCAAAAACATGTTTTACGCAATGTGGCCGAAGCAATGAGCACAAGGCAGTAGGCTATAAGTGCTAATGGGAAAACACCATTATCAAAAGTGAACGCAAATGTGATTATGCATGTAATGCTTTTTATGGTGAAAATGATCTACCCCAAACTTGAAACTCACGCGCTGCTTATGTATGCCAGTTAGGCTCTACACCCCTTGTAAAGCGGATTAATGTGCTTAATTTTAATAAGTTATTTGGCCACTTTAGTTGTGATACAAACCTTATCAAAACGTATAGGCCTATGGGCTAGGCTACATGAGGTGTGCGACTATCATTTGTAAAAGTCAACAACAAAAAAAGGCATTGTTTCTTATGCGGGCATCATTCACAAGTGATAATATATCATTCACAAGTGATGGGCTAATATTGTCACCTCTCAGACTATTCTTGATTTAATCTAGTCTTTACATATACTAAATGATGTGTGATTTTTTTAAAAATTTTTTATTTAGAATGGACCATTATCATGCACCTGTCTCGAAACAGGGGCAGGGAAAGAAATACATGGCATCTATGCACTTAAATAGCGAATGAAGGACGCTTTTCCCGTGGTTCATTTTCATGCCAGCCAGGTAGGCTATACTCCTGTTGTAAAGATAAGCAATGTGCTTAATATTAGGAAAGTTGAGAAATAAATATAGTAGGCCTAGCCTATAGAAAGCTGATGGGATCCTCCTCTTTTTAATAGAGGCCATCACTCTGTTTTCTCATGCAATTGCATAGCCTATAGAAATGTTGCGCACCATGAGCCATGGGCTGTCATGAGTGTTTGATTAGATTTTCAATTACATTGATGTCAGTGTGATTAGAGGGACAATAGAGTGCTGAGTACCAGGCAGTTAGCAGGCTTAGTAGGCTATTAATGACCACCAGCAGCATCAGAGCACCACTCATCTTTGCAGAATTGTTGTAATTCAGCCACATTGGAGGGTTTTCGAGCATGAACTGCCTTTTTAAGGTCATGCCACAGCATCTCAATATGATTCAGGTCAGGACTTTGACTAGGCCACTCCAAGGTCTTCATTTTGTTTTTCTTCAGCCATTCAGAGGTGGACTTGCTGGTGTGTTTTGGATCATTGTCCTGCTGCAGAACCCAAGTTCGCTTCAGCTTGAGGTCATGAACAGATGGCCAGACATTCTCCTTCAGGATTCTTTGATAGACAGCAGAATTCATGGTTCCATTTATCACAGCAAGTCTTCCAGGTCCTGAAGCAGCAAAACAGGCCCAGACCATCAAACACTACCACCACCATATTTTACTGTTGGTATGATGTTCTTTTTCTGAAATGCGGTGTTACTTTTATGCCAGATGTAATGGGACACACACCTTCCAAAAAGTTCAACCTTTGTCTCGTCAGTCCACAGAGTATTTTCCCAAAGGTCTTGGGGATCATCAAGATATTTTCTGGCAAAAATGAGACAAGTGACAAATGAGACAAATGAGACTCAGCAGTGGTTTTCGTCTTGGAACTCTGCCATGCAGGCCATTTTTGCCCAGTCTCTTTCTTATGGTGGAGTCATGAACACTGACCTTAACTGAGGCAAGTGAGGCCTGCAGCTCTTTGGATGTTGTTTTGGGGTCTTTTGTGACCTCTTGGATGAGCCGTCGCTGCGCTCTTGGGGTAATTTTGGTCTGCCGGCCACTCCTTGGAACGTTCACCACTGTTCTGTGTGTTCGCCATTTGTGGATAATGGCTCTCACTGTGGTTCGCTGGAGTCCCAAAGCTTTAGAAATGGCTTTATAACCTTTTCCAGACTGATGGATCTGAATTACTTTCTTTCTCATTTGTTCCTGAATTTCTTTGGATCTCTGCATGATGTCTAGCTTTTGAGGATCTTTTGGTCTACTTCACTTTGTCAGGCAGGTCCTATTTAAGTGATTCCTTGATTGAGAACAGGCAGGTGTGGCAGTAATCAAGCCTGGGTGTGGCTAGAGGAATTGAACTCAGGTGTGATAAACCACAGTTGAGTTGTGTTATAACATGGGGGGCAAACACTTTTTCACACAGGGCCATGTAGGTTTGGATTTTGTTTTCCCTTAATAATAACAACCTTCATTTCAAAACTGCATTTTGTGTTTACTTGTGTTATCTTTGACTAATATTTAAATTTGTTTGATGATCTGAAACATTTAAGTGTGACAAACATGCAAACAAATAACAAATCAGGAAGAGGGCAAACATTTTTTCACACCACTGTATATACACCTGTTCTGAAAGGCCCCAGAGTCTGCAACACCACTAAGCAAGGGGCACCTCCAAGCAAGCAGCACCATGAAGACCAAGGAGCTCTCCAAACAGTTCAGGGACAAAGTTGTGGAGAAGTAGCGATCAGGCTTGGGTTATAAAAAAATATCTGAAACTTTGAACATCCCACAGAGCACCATTAAAATCCATAATAAAAAAATTGAAAGAATATGGCACCACATCAAACCTGCCAAGAGAGGGCTGCCCACCAAAACTCACGGACCAGGCAAAGAGGGCATTAATCAGAGAGGCAACAAAGAGACCAAAGATAACCCTGAAGGAGCTGCAAAGCTCCACAGCGAAGATTGGAGTATCTGTCCATAGGACCACTTTAAGCCGTACACTCCACAGAGCTGGGCTTTACGGAAGAGTGGCCAGAAAAAAATAAGCAAACACGTTTGGTGTTCGCCAAAACGCATGTGGGAGACTCCCCAAACATATGGAAGAAGGTACTCTAGTCAGATGAGACTGAAATTGAGTTTTTTGGCCATCAAGGAAAACGCTATGTCTGGCGCAAACCCAACACCTCTCATCACCCCGAGAACACCATCCCCACAGTTAAGCATGGTGGTGGCAGCATCATGCTGTGGGGTTGTTCTTCATCGGCAGGGACTGGGAAACTGGTCAGAATTGAAAGAATGATGGATGGCGCTAAATACAGGGAAATTATTGAGGGAAACCTGTTTCAGTCTTCCAGAGATTTGAGACTGGGACGGAGTTTGACCTTCCAGCAGGACAATGACCCTAAGCATACTGCTAAAGCAACACTCAAGTGGTTTAAGGGGAAACATTTAAATATCTTGGAATGGCCTAGTCAAAGCCCAGGCCTCAATCCAATTGAGAATCTGTGGTATAACTTAAAGATTGCTGTACACCAGCAGAACCCATCCAACTTGAAGGAGCAGGAGCAGTTTTGCCTTGAAGAATGGGCAAAAATCCCAGTGGTTAGATGTGCCAAGCTTATAGAGACATACCCCAAGAGACTTGCAGCTGTAATTGCTGCAAAAGGTGGCTCTACAAAGTATTGACTTTGGGGGGGAGTGAATAGTTATGCACGCTCAAGTTTTCAGTTTTTTTGTCTTATTTCTTGTTTGTTTCACAATAAAATATATTTCGCATCTTCAAAGTGGTAGGCATGTTGTGTAAATCAAATGATACAAACCCCCCAAAAATCCATTTTAATTCCAGGTTGTAAGGCAACAAAATAGGAAAAATGCCAAGGGGGGTGAATACTTTCGCAAGCCACTGTATAGTGGAGGCTATATGCAGGAATAAACCGTATACCCACTTTTTTCAGTGGGCATTGCGTATACTCACTTCTGATGCGTATCAAAGTAGTGTAGTGGAGGTCAGTTATGTAGTACAACAGAGAAATCATGCACAGAGTAGCCTATACAATCGCAAAGCACGTGAAATAGATTCACATGCGTGCTGCACACACAGCCTATTTTCAGCTGAATAGAATCTGCAGGCAGCAAGAGTGTGAAGCTCTCAACTGGTTTTGGCATGGAGCAGCTCACAGAAGAATTACATCGGTAGCCGGTAGGGTAGGAAAGACGTTTCAACGTATGATATCTACCAGCAAATGCTAACTAAGGTAACAATGGGTATGCAAACCAGGTGGTATTGAAAAAGTTTAGTCCAAAGTGTTGGTTAGTAGGCTATTTGTGGTGCGTAATTGTCATCATGCCCTGTTTGCATCAGGTGTGTAGACATGGATGGGCCTGGGTGGACTGAGGCCGACCCACTGGGGAGCCAGGCCCTGACAGGCCCACCCAATCAGATTGATGTGGTTGAAACATTGTTGTGGACTTAGAACATTATATATTTTTTCTATTAACAAAAGTGTGATTTTTGAGAGTGAAAATCTGAAAAACTCTTAAAAAAACAGGATTCTTCACACAGGGTGCCTTTCCTTCACTGGGCGGGCCGTTTAGGAACATTTGGGCAATATTTTGGTATACATCCACTTCTCCAGGCACCACTGCATAGGGCTGATGGAAAGACAGTAGTCAGACACAGCATGATGTTAAAGGATAAGCAGTCCATAAACTCGGACATAATAAGCTAGTAGATCCCAATCATAAGAATATAAAAACACAACCATTAAGCCTTTCCCAAACGAAATGTACAACTTACTTCCCGTTGCAAAAAATATTTCACGTTTAGCCCACAGTCACCTGTGACCTAAAGTTTAAAGTTGAACTGACAGCGTTTTAAATACTTTGCAGATATGAAACAAACAGAAATATCAAATTCCCAGTTTATGCTACAAAACCAACTTCATAAGAGGTTTTAAAAACATGTTCTATTTGACTCAACATTCTATGACGTACACTAAGGCGTCGTTGGCAGAATAGATGGATGCAGTTCAATGTATAATTAATATAATTCACCAATACATTTCTTGGTAGTCCAAAAAATATTGCTATCAGGTTGTAAATCACAGCTGGCCTGGTACATTGTTTGCTGCCTCCATTTGGGATGCACTGTTTCAGTTTCAATGAGTCAATATTCTGGACAAAAACATACGAATGTAACTAAGGCTGGGAATGTCAATACTATCAAACTAGCAAGGGCAATGATCACAAGTCAGTAATAATGTGGCTAATAGGTTAGCGTATCTATTTATGTAGCAAGCTAAAAATACGGATCCTAACGTTAGCTAGATAGTTAGCTAGGTGCTAGGAGGATGTCATATCATGCCATTGGAGGAGTGGGTGAGTGACTGACTTTTTCCCCTCATATCGTTTTCGGTGGCTATACACAGCTAGAGATGCAGGTGTCATTTGGTTAGTTAGCAAGAACTTGAACGACTGTTATCTAGTTAGCATATCTCTTACGTTCGCAAATTCACTCTGGCTATCTACTCTGATTTCAGAACACTCTAATCTGAGTGTGCCAGAGCGCAGAACAACTGATAATTTACAAACACGCAACACCCGCTGAATATGACCGGTGTCTGTAAACGTAGGCAAAGAAGGTAATGGTCAAGAAGGCTCTAGATAACATGTAAACAGCCTAACCAGCTCTGCTATGGCGAGTAAAATTGTCAGTGAGATGTTCTCTCATTTGTGTCTGGAAGTTGCTAGCTAGCCAGTTAGCTTGGGTGCTTGGTTGGGACAAGCATGCGTTGGCAGGCAAGCTGCAGAAGGACGAGGAGACTACAATTCCTCATTGTTTATCAGTGCAATTCTGACGGCCAACTAGCTGAAAAAGTTTGAGGGTTTATCAAATTTTCCTTCGTTAGATTTTAGCTCATCTTGCTCTGTCAAGCATTAGTTGTTGATCTTGTTGATGTGCATAACTGAGGGAGAGGGAGCCTACCCTTTTTATGGTTGTTTGATCAATAGGACTGTAAAGTTCCCAAATGTAAGAGGACTCCTGTGGTGTTTACATATTTGCATAAATCCATTCAGGTGTATTTTGTGGCTTTTGGCGAATGTGTTCTAATGATCTAAAGTCGCGCTGTTGCAACTGCCTGTAAACACACAGTCCAGTTCAAAGTGAATGATGGCAGGCCCGTGTGGCAAATGGCTTGTTTTCATGAAGGTCTACTGTATCTCTGATTGGCTATAGCGCACCGGTCTGTGTAGACTCCGTTCCTGGACAAGACAGATGTTTTTATTCTGTTTTATTTACTGCAGTGTCTATTAATTGTCCGAACGCACGGCCGCTTTCCCACTATATTGCTATAGAATTTTCACAAATGCCTTAGTATACGTAATTCCCAAACATTCTAAGAATTTATGAAAATGTGAAAATGACAATATCTAAGTGGTCGCTTGTCAAATTTTTTTAAAAAGTGTAATTCTTCCTGGGGTGTATATGAACAGATTTTTATATGATTTCATATTGCTAAAATGCTGTCAGTTCCACTTGAAATGCAGCAATGTTTCACACAAGTTATTTTCAAAGAGATGGCTAACAACATCAAGCACGCTGCAATAAAAAACACAGTTCCACTCACCAGATGATGATCATTTGAAACTTAAGTTATTCTTGAAAAGGGAGAAGCTAACAACTGCTGCAACCGCTGAAATGAAAACTAGCCGACAACAAAAGCTAGCTAGCTAGACCATCGGAAACTACTGCTCGCTATTGTGCAGTGACCTGTTGGCCTTCAAGAAGGCAGAAGTTTCCATACGTTTTTGTAAAAACGGTGCCATCCATTAAATCAAAATGTGATTGGTTGATTCCACTGTCACTCCAACATTTTGCCCTAATACAGTTGAATGGCAGATGCCTTTATCTAATTTCTGATGGCCTAGCCAATGGCTGACTTAGCTAGCTAGATTTATCTCTTCAGAGACCAGCAAAGAAAAATCCTGATTGGATAATTTTTTCTCTTCAGTGTTAACCCTTTCCAACAAAACTGAAGAGATTAAATCAGAACATTATAGAAAATAATACTATAATTATCATTAATATAATTATTTTATGAATCCTTAGCCCTTCTCTGAAGGCGTAGAAGGCCCATTGCTCCCCACTGTGTTTGGGTTAGTAATCATTTGTAGAGTGCCTCTATTTTCCCTCAGCATGCATTTCTTTCACTATTTTGAATGTCTGAAGAATCCATATGTTGTTCTGAAATATGAACAAAAATACTGGACATTCTTTACTCTTATGGTGGTGATTTGACAAAATTACAATCATGGTCTTGAATTGGACTCGCATTTTTCTGGTCTCAGTCTTGACTCGTCTCGGACCACTTGTCCCCCTCCCAGTCTTGGTCTTGACTCGGTCTCGGGCCCCTTGTCCCCCTCCCAGTCTCTGTCTTGACTCAGTCTCGCCCCAATACTATATGCCAATCCCTCAGCCGTAGTGGTATTGGGCAATATTTGCTCTGCTTTGTTCAGAATCACTAGAAGCAGCAGACAAGGCATTCCAATTTCTCCTTTGATATTTGTATTAACCATGTAACCCCTGGCAATTCATCAATCGATGGAAAGAACACCAATTTCTCTCAAATCTACTGATAATTTCATTATACGCTTACTATATTTTACTATATCTAGAGAATGTATCTCAATCGCTCCCAAACACATTGAATATCATAGATACATTCAGCTTAATCTCAAATTATAAAATTAATCTAACCAAATCAGCCCTACTGCCTCTTAAGACCCCAATGGAGGACTCCATCTCTTCTTATGGAATCCCAATCGTTCCCCATTTTAAATATTTGGGAGTAGATATATTTCCTTCCTTAGAGAAAACCATTGCCAGAAACTTTAACAGAACACACAAATCAATTAAATCAGACCTCCGTAGATAGACTAACATCCCAGTTGTTTTAACTGGCAGAATATCTATTGTCAAAATGAATATATTGCCACGGCTGAATTTCTGTAGTTCAATGCTTCCCATGTCTCCCCCTTCTGGCTATTGGGATAAAATAAATTATGTATATAAACCCTGGATTGCTGATGCTATGTATTGACCATTGAGGGGCTTTGAAGCCACCTGTCAGCTGTATTGGCACTCCCCAGTAGGAGCAGTCCTCCATAGGAATGAATGGAATTCTACAGTATTAAATGTATTTAAGTATTTTTCTGTTGTAGTGGGGACAGTAACATTAGTCATCTAAAAAAAGTACACTTTAAGGAAAATGTTTTTGTTCATTTATTTGTATGTTTAGCTCACATCATATAATATAAAAGTATGCATTAAGCTGTCTGTAATAGAATAAACGTGGCAAAAACAAATGTAGACATTTAATAAATGCATTTCTGTAGCTTCCAAAATATTTTTTTACAATGGTGAGGGATGCCAAGATGGAGGCCCTATCAATCATCTATTGTATATATAAATCATTGGATAAAATCCATAGTGCGGTTTCAAAATGTATATGGCAAGGGAAAGATGTAGGGGACTATCCGTACCAAACTTTCAATTGTATTTACAGGCACTAGCATTTCACCCCATCCTTAATTGGTTTATACATTATTATTCCGCCCCCTGGCTGAGTATAAAGATAAATATGGTGTCTGCTATTGCCCTGGGAGAGGTGGTCTTCCCTGATATACAGTGCATTTGGAAAGTATTTAGACCCCTTGACCTTTTCCACATTTTGTTATGTTACAGCCTTATTCTAAAATGGATTAAATAAAAATGTTTCCTCATCAATCTACACACAATACCCCATAAAGACAAAGCAAAAACAGGTTTTTAGAAATGTTTGCAAATGTATTAAAATAAAAAACTGAAATATTACATTTACATAAGTATTCAGACCATTTACTCAGTACTTTGTTGAAGCACCTTTGGCAGCGATTACAGCTTAGTCTTCTTGGGTATGACGCTACAAGCTTGGCACACCTGTATTTGGGGAGTTTCTCCCATTCTTCTCTGCAGATCCTCTCAAGCTCTGTCAGGTTGGATGGGGAGCGACGCTGCACATCTATTTTCAGGTCTCTCCAGAGATGTTCGATCGGGTTCAAGTCCGGGCTCTGGCTGGGCCACTCAAGGACATTCAGAGACTTGTCCCGAAGCCACTCCTGCATTGTCTTGGCTGTGTGCTTAGGGTCGTTGTCCTGTTGGAAGGTGAACCTTCACCCCAGCTCTGGAGCAGGTTTTCATCAAGGATCTCTCTGTACTTTGTTTCCGTTCACCTTTGCCTTGATCTTGACTAGTCTCCCAGTCCCTGCCGCTGAAAAACATCCCCACAGCATGATGCTGCCACCACCATGCTTCACCGTAGGGATGGTGCCAGGTTTCCTCCAGACGTGACGCTTGAAATTCAGGCCAAGGAGTTGAATCTTGGTTTCATCAGACCAGACAATCTTGTTTCTCATGGTCTGAGAGTCTTTAGGTGCCTTTTGGCAAATTCCAAGCAGGCTGTCATGTACTGAGGAGTGGCTTCCGTCTGGCCACTCTACCATAAAGGCCTGATTGGTGGAGTGCTGCGTGCATATGTATTCACTCCCTTTACTATGAAGCCCTTAAATAAGATTTGGTGCAACCAATTACCTTCAGAAGTCACATAATTCGTTAAATAAAGTCCACCTGTATGCAATCTAAGTGTCACATGATCTGTCACATGATGTCAGTATATATACACCTGTTCTGAAAGGTCCCAGAGTCTGCAACACCACTAAGCAAGGGGCACCACCAAGCAAGCGGCACCATGAAGACCAAGGAGCTCTCCAAACAGGTCAGGGACAAAGTTGTGGAGAAGTACCGATCACGGTTGGGTAAAAAAAGAAATGTCTGAAACTTTGAACATCCCACAGAGCACCGTTAAATCCATTATTTAATAAATGGAAAGAATATGGCACCACAACAAACCTGCCAAGAGATTGCCACCCACCAAAACTCACGGACCAGGCAAGGAGGTGTGGTGGCCGAACATGCTGCAATGCTGTGTTGACAAGGAATCCGCTGACACTGTACTTGATTATAACTTGTATTACATCATAGATTACAGCATCAATTTACAGACTTCTGCAGAGTCTGGAGAGCCACGAAACCGAATCTCAAATATGATAGCTCTCCCCGTCCTTTGTTCCAACATGGTATATATCCTATGTAACACAAAATGGCGTGTTTTGAATAGACCAATCCCTGGCCTCCACTGTTTTAGGGGGCCCCTATAGTAACACTTTCCAGATGTTTCAGCACAGAAGAGTTCATTTAACCAACCATATGAAAACCTCAGCCAAAGCTATAAATTGTTCAGATACTACATATTTCCCCCCTTCGAGACTAATTAAGTCTCGAAAACAAAAAGAATAGGATTATGACAAATCTTGTGTAACTTTACCAATAAAACCAAGTTTATGGAGTGTGAACACATTTTTATGACGTGTAAACTAATTGTTATGGAGTGTAAGAGCGAAAAACCTGTCTGGCAGCTTTCTTTCCAAATATCCATCAATCAAGACAGTAAAATTCTCTCACGGCCCCTCTGCCCCAGGCGACCACTTAAGTACTCCAGATCAATTTATAAATCTTTATCAATGCATTTTAAGCTATGATGCAATTGAATACACATGAAAGCTTCAGAAAAAAAAATGCAATCAAAAACCCCTCCACATTCAGGCTGGTCGACCCATCGGACCCTCCTGTGGATTCTCTCTGTACCTGCCTAGACCCAATATCCCTAAGCATCCACGAAAAAAACAAAAACATCTGAGGTCCCCACATGTACCCAACCACAAAATCATCATTCTTCAAACAATGAATACAGAAAGAATATGACACAAATTATGTATTACACATGCAAATATGTATTCATATCAGTGCAGACACTGGAATGTAGTCCACTACACTGCAGCTCCTCAGCAGTGTCGACTTTCAATGCAACGTCGATGATGGAATCTGAACATTTCCACACCTTCCTTGTTCAACTTCCTCCAGTCCATTCATATTGTCCATGTTTGAGTATTTGAATCCCACTCTACACATCCCCATATTCTTCTGGAAGAAAAGAAAACACCAACCAGTATCTTTTGCAAAGCAATGAAAATTAAAACATCAATATCAAAAAGAATATAAAAATGATATATAAAATGAATCACATTCCATTTCCCCCCTTTGATTCATAAGAAAACACTAAATCTCACAACAACATGCAAAGAAATGTGAAAATTATCACACAATCAGATATTCAAAATTTCCTAGAGTTACTTCAACCCTAGTTTTCGTAACGTTTTGGTCTGACTTTTTCCCAATTTTAGAAAAATCAATTTCACTGATTTATCCACAAAACTCTGTCCCATTAGCTGAGGATATTAGATCGGGAAATCCCCACCTGCTTATGACTTCTTTACACAAAAACTTGGCAACCCACTTCTTTTCGCTTGGATGCACAGGCCTCCGGCCATCGTGAAAATCTATCTACAACCACCAGCATATCTTTTCCCTTCAATTGGTTTTATCATATCAACAAAGTCGATAACCAACTCACGCATAGGACCTCTCGGTGTAGGAATGTAACCAGGAAGAACAGTCACAGCCCTGTGAACATTATTTTTCAGACAGATTGTGCACCTGCCTATGATAGTCAACCTTTTTCAAGCAAATATGGTGCCCAAAAACCATACTCCTTTGTGATCTTTCTCCTAACCTCCCCCCTTGCAACATTAGCTAACCCATGTGCTTCCTGAATCATCAGACCTAATAGGTCTAGAGGCGCTACTATCAACCCCTCATCGTTTCTCCAAAGACCAGTAGCATCTTTGACAGCACCTCGGTCTAGCCATAACTGTTTGTCAATCGTAGACGCAGCTTCCTGCATCAAAATCACATCCTTAAGCGTAATTTTGTCTTCCAAGTCCACTCCATGAGTGACCAGAAAAACCTTGCCCAATTTGTCCGCTCCTGTGACGGCTTTTGCAGCTTCATCAGCAGCTTTGTTCCCTTGTGTGACTTTTGACACATCTGTTTTATAAGCTGCACACTTAGCTATCGCTATCTCTTTAGGCTTCATCATAGCATGCAACAATTTCATTATTTGCGCATTATGTTGTATCGGAGAACCATCCGTTTTCTTAAACCCTCGACCTTTCCACACTGCTCCAAACAAATGACATACACTATGTGCATATGCAGAATCAGTATATATCGTCACTCGCTTTCCTTCTGCTAACAAACACTCTTCTGTTAGCCCCACAAGTTCAGCAAGTTGTGCTGATGCAGGCTGTGGTATTACTTCAGCCTTTTCAACAACAAATCCAGTTCCTTGGGCTTTAACTACTGCATAGCCAGCACACAATTTATCTCCCACACGATACCAAGACCCATCAGTCCAATACTCCAGGTCTGCCTCACGTAATGGAAGGGCTTGCAAATCTGATCTAAGCCTCGAGTATTTCTCTGCTTCTTGAACACAATCATGTGGCTCACCATCCTCTGAAGTTGGCAAATTCTCGGCTGGATTCACCGTATCACACCTCACTAGGGTGACATCTTCCTGCTCTAAGAGCCTATGATAATCTCTGAGCCTAGGCATAGTCAATGTATATTTTCCATAGTTCAGAAGATTTCTGAGACTATGATGGGTAAGAATTGTTACTGGGTAACCCATCGTAACAGATGATGCTTTGTCATACATTGAATATACTCCCACCATTGCTCTGTAGCACAGTGGTAGCCCTAGTTCTACTTCTGAATAGGTAGTAGGAAATAGGTTGAGGATTCGTCCCTGTACCTGTCGGCTGACAAAGAACTGCACAAGCATATTTACCTCCAGTAGAAGTAGACACATATAACAAGACATTCTTAGAGTAGTCTGGTAGTGTGAGTGCCGGTGCCTCTTGTAACCTCTGTTTGATCGTTTCAAATGCTACAAGGCCTTCCTGTGTCCAGGAAAGATTGCTATGGAGTTGACCACTCCCAGTATCTTTAACCATAGCTCTCAAAGGTCCCTACTTCATTCACTGCTATCAAATCATGAACCATACGATAAGTCTCATCAGGTTTCTTCAAAGGCAACAAAGGTGTGTTACTCTGAGGATTTCTTATTGTCCTCAAAACACCTGCTTTCGAAAGTCCTTCAATTTGTGGTTCGATCCCTTGGATTGCTTCATCTTTCAATGGATACTGATTCTTCCAAGGAGGTCTGGCTCCTGGTCGAAGTTCAACTTTCACCGGTTGGGCTGATTTCACAAGTCCAATATCGGCACTGTGTTGAGACCACAAACCTTCTGGAACTTGTTGCAACATCTCCTCTTTCATAGAGTCTGAATCCATCTTCACACTGCAAATAGATTCATGTGTCATCCATACAGCTTGTGGCTGTCCTTTTGAGAAATAGCTGATTTTCACTCCTCCAAATCGCCAAATTCTCTTTCATCGGTACGAAAACAGCTTTCTCTGCTTCTGTCATCATTTCTCCTATATGCTTCTGCTCATAGTCTTCAGAAACCAACAAGGTCACGTGGCACACTCTTCTCAATCTCAAATTCTTTATCCAGATAATCGTCTGTGTTTATCTTCATAGCTGCTCCTTGTGGTCCTAAAATTATGCAACATGAGTTGAGTTGAACTTTCTTTGGTTGATGACTCAACCATTCCTCTGAGTTCGATTGGCCAGCATTCTTGAAATACTTGAGTGTACAATGAAATTGATTTTCAGGAAGCCTCGCATCTGGCATTTTTGCCACAATTAATTTCTCCCATATCTTAGCCTGCTTCAAAAAATCTGCACTGAGATTTCCAATCCAAAATACTGAAGAAGAGTCAATCTCTGTCGTCATCAACAATTGGTAAACCTTTTCTTTTGGCACTTCTACCAGACAGCCGTCTGGCGTACATTTTATTGTACAATTCAATCTACACAATGCATCTCTTCCCAACAATGCAATAGGTGTATGTTCCGATACCAGTATAGGTATGGTAGTTTTCTGATTTTTATAGCAGAGCTCAATTGGTTCCGTAAGAGGAATCAGCTGTTTCACTCCCTCAAATCCAATTGTCCAAATCAGTTGATTGGACATAGTGTGATGTGTAGCATCTTCAAGCCGAACACAGGTAAAAGCAGCTCCGCTATCCGCCATCACTTCCAATGGTTGGTTGTTTACTTTCACCTCAATTGTTGGATCTTTTTCCAGTCCTGATGCTACCAGCTGACACCCCCCTTTCGGATCTTCTGGGCACCTCTAGAATCCTTGCTCCGTGCCCCTATAAGGGTTCACCGGTCCTCCAAATGATCTTGACTGGCCCCTGTATCTTCCTCTGAAATTCCCTCTGGTGTTTCCTCCTGGCCCATTACACTCACGGGCAAAGTGACCAACCTGTCCACAATTATAACACACTTCAGAAGATTGCTGGAAGTAGGGATTAAATCTTCCTCCTCTTCCTCTTCCTAAGCCTTCTCGTCCTCTTCCTCTCCAATTCTGTGTCTGTCCAGAAACTGGCTGTGGATATGAAACAACTGGTACCGCTAGTGGTGGCTAGGACAATTGCAGTTGGAACTGGTTCGGTTGAAGCTGTAGCAGTGATTGTTGATTTGGTGAACACTGATTCTGCATAACCAAAGCCTATTTATTCTCCTTCTTCTTATTCTCCACCAGTTGTATTTGATTGAGTTTTCTGAGAGTTTCTTGGTCCTGTTCTTTCTGGTTGTGTTCCTTTTTCCTGTATAGATCCACTTGATGGGCTATATGATCTGTATAGACACCTTTTGTCATGCTTCCAAGTCCAACCACCTCTGCCAGTTTTCTCCTTACTGGTGAGGGCAGCCCCATCTGCAATTTAGCTCACAAAATTGACTGCTCTATTTGACTCACATCTGGATCATTTCCAGTAATATTTCTCCACACTTGATGAGCTCTTGACACATAGGCTCTCGGATTTTCTTGTTGTCCTAGTGGGTCAATCAGAATATTGTCACGATGCACATTTGTTGGAAATGTATCTTTTCAGTGCTCTCCACAGCCTATTTCTACTTGCAGCTAACAACTCAGGATCATTCACCGCAGTCCCCACATATCGATTAAGTCCAGCTCTCTGAAAAATGTCTTCCATCCCTGGAATCCCAAGGAGATTAGCCAAAAGTCTCATAATGTCTCCTATGGCAGACTGTGTTCCCACTGTAATTTCTTCCAACTTTGAAATCCAAGGATATGCTCCATCTTGAAGAGTAGGCAGCTTCTCAAGTATATCTGGCATATCGGTATTCTTCAAAGGCTTATACTCCAGGTTCTGTCCTCTAATTATCACTGGCATCATCTTCTTACTTGTGCTCCCTTTTCTTGTCCGCAATGTATCCTTCCTCTGACATTTTTGGGATTCTTTTTTTCAGCAGTTTTTCCTTCTGTATCTTCAGCTTCTTGAGTTGTTCTTCCAATTCTCTTACTTCTTCTAAATTATTCGCCTTATCCAAGCATGATATGCATCGATCCATATCTCTTTCTATTTCTTCTGTGCTAGTCATTGGAGGATAAAATCCTCTTGAACATGAAGCACCTTTAATCTCCAAATTTTCATCGCTGTCTCCATCTTCACTTTCATCAGAGCTCGGATCTCTTGTATCCTTCTTCTTCCAACTTCCATCACCCCTTCTTTCCGCTCTGGCCAACCTCCGTCTGATCACAGGGTCATATCCACCCATGATCTCTTCTGAATCACTGATCATCATCATCATCTTCAAATTCCATCCTCCTGAACCTCACTCTACCCTTAGTTTCCAGACATGTCATTTTCTTCTTACTTTTGGAGTTTGGATTAATCTTTATGGTCGTTTCTGCTTGTCCTCTCTCTATTATTCTTTCATCTTCATCTCTGATGCAATAATCACCCTCCTGAATGATCACTGGAAGCTGAGGATAGACATCCTTAAACTCTATTTCTTCCTCGTAAGGTGGGGGTCTTTTTGCTGAATCCATATGTGAGAAAGGTGTATTGACTTCTGCCATTAGTTTTTCTGTTACCTTCGCCTCTTTTGCCATTTTCTCTATACCTCTGTCTCTTATCTTTTGTATCTTTTATCAGTTTTTGTCAATGTCAGGCCAACGTTTATTCCATTTTCCAGATAACCTTGCAATACCATTAACTAGAGGATTACTATTTTTTACTACATCAACAGGAGTAATTACTTTCATAGTTTTGATGTCCTTTTTCCCCATTGTAACAACTCTTTTATATTCCTTTATTGTGAATTATTGTATTATTATTATTATTATTATTATTTTAAACTAATTAATTTGTAAACCAAAAAATACTTTAAGCTATGTAGCTTATCATTCCCTCCTATTTTTTTCTTCTTCTACCAAATTATTGAATAGTGGCAATCTTACCACATCCGATAAAGAAAGGTAAAGGAAACTAGTCAACTTCAGAGCAATCAAAAAAGAAAGACCTGTAATCCAGCAACACTACAGCACCCACAAACCAATTGCTTAATAAGCACCCAATCACTTTAATTTTACAGAATAATCTCAGTGCTGGATTTCCAACACAACTCTAATCAAAACAACCCATGCACAAAAAACCCTAATGTGCAATTCTCAATTACATCAATTGATCAGTCTGTTGCCAAGTCCCTGCCAAATGGTCACAACATGAAATATTATATGCATACACAATGTATCTATTATATCCTGTAGGGGTAAGTAAGTTTGTGGATAGAACAGTACTGGCCTTAATTGGACTGGATCCTGGGCAGCACACGCTGTCGCGTGACGCACTGGTCAGCACCTCCTCTCTCTCTGTCTCCTCCTTCTCGTTTCTCACATCACAGGAGAACAAAAGAAACAGACAAGAATTTAGTATTTTATGCACTCACTGGGTTATTTAAACCATACAATACCCTTTTAGACATACCTATGTTCACATTTGTGCTAAGAAATAAACAAACAGCTTAACTCAGGAATATTATAAATAGTGCAATAATATTTTTTTTAATTTTATTTTATTTTTTTCATTTATAAATTCAATGGATCTCAATCAAATGGTTTCATAGTTAAGCAACAGCCACTTAACAGAATAATTTATTGTGTGTACTCAAAGTCTCCCCCTTTCTTTTTCAGCTATAAGTCTGCGTCTCCCAGCAGCTCAGTGCAGGCAGGGGAGTGGCCTATTCGCTCTATGCAACTCTAAACTCATAAAATCCCACACATGCGCAGCTCATTTGCTAGTGCGATTTCAAGGTGAGAGGCGCTCTCCCACAGTAACTTTTCTCTAAGTCAAACAGCAGACAGACCAGCTGTCCCTCCGTTCTTTCCAACACAGACAAACAGTAACACTGAACAAAACGCACAAACCAACAAAAAACATAGAACACAAATCCTACTTCGAAGTTTTTTAACGTAACCATAGTCTATTTTCTCTCCTCTTTCTTCACCCATTCTACTCCAATCCGCAGATTTTATACTCATTTTCTTATCCTTTACAAATCCTCTCTATACAATCATAACGTCCTCCCGGGGGCTCATAGTTTTTTAACAAATTTGAAAACGTTCTCTCAAATGGAGACTCATAAGGTTTTAACCGTAATTAACACACACTCTCTTTCTCTCACACACACATAATCAACAAGAATGCATCCATTCATACCGCATGCTTCCGTCGCTCCTATTTCCTTTATAGTCCTTCCTAAATTTGTGCTACCTTGAGTTGCAGATATTCAATGAGAGGCTACTTCGGACATATAGCTCGTCAACTATATACCGAGAGGTAACATACAATTGAATGTATATTCTACAATCTCACAGTTCCTTGAACTGACCTGAAAATTCACCTAGTGACTCTCCAGGATTTGTGGCCCATCTAATGATCGCCTCGTTTGAGGGCTTCCGTAGATCAGCGACATCCTAACGGAATACATTTTTCCTTAGTTCCTTGTCCTATTCCTTCATTCTATTCCTTTTCCCTTTAATTTTATTCAAGCCAATTTCCCTGGGCCCAGTGTTATCAATTCCTTTTTTCCTTAGATCTTGTATTATATTCACACTCCCCCTTGTTTGCGTTGTTTCCAACGCAAACAAATTTAGAAATTTAGAACGGAATCTTATCACACAGCAAAAAACTGCAAGGCGCACACACAAGTTCTCAACGGTGCATCCCCCAACGCACACACACAGCCACACGAACTGACCAGTGCCCAAAGTGGTGAGAAAGCTCACCCTTATCCGCCGGACTCTGGAGCGAGTGTCATCTCGGAGCCCATGATGCAACGCTGAAATAGACGCAACACGTCCCAAAATCCTCGTCGCCAATTTCTGTGGTGGCCGAACATGCTGCAATGCTGTGTTGACAAGGAATCCACTGACACTGTACTTGATTATAACTTTTATTACATCATAGATTACAGCATCAATTTACAGACTTCTGCAGAGTCTGGAGAGCCACGAAACCCAATCTCAAATATGATAGCTCTCCCCGTCCTTTGTTCCAACATGGTATATATCCTATGTAACACAAAATGGCGTGTTTTGAATAGACCAATCCCTGGCCTCCACTGTTTTAGGGGGCCCCTATAGTAACACTTTCCAGATGTTTCCGCACAGTAGAGTTCATTTAACCAACCATATGAAAACCTCAGCCAAAGCTATAAATTGTTCAGATACTACAGAGGGCATTAATCTGAGAGGCAACAAAGAGACCAAAGATAACCCTGAAGGAGCTGCAAAGCTCCACAGTGGAGATTGGATTATCTGTCCATAGGACCACTTTAACCGTACACTCCACAGAGCTGGGCTTTACGGAAGAGTGGCCAGAAAAAAGCCATTGCTTAAATAAAAAAATAAGCAAACACGTTTGGTGTTCGCCAAGGCCATGTGGGAGACTCCCCAAACATATGGAAGAAGGTACTCTGGTCAGATGAGACAAAAATTGAGCTTTTTGGCCATCAAGAAAAATGTCTGGCGCAAACCCAACACTTCTCATCACCCCGAGAACACCATCCCCACAGTGAAGCATGGTGGTGGCAGCATGCTGTGGGGATGCTTTTCATCGGCAGAGACTGAGAAACTGGTCAGAATTGAAGGAATGATGGATGGTGCTAAATACAGGGAAATTCTTGAGGGAAACCTGTTTCAGTCTTCCAGAGATTTGAGACTGGGACGGAGTTTGACCTTCCAGCAGGACAATGACCCTAAGCATACTGCTAAAGCAACACTTGAGTGGTTTAAGGGGAAACATTTAAATGTCTTGCAATGGCCTAGTCAAAGCCCGGGCCTCAATTCAATTGAGAATCTGTGGTATGACTGAAAGATTGCTGTACACCAGCAGAACCCATCCAACTTGAAGGAGCTGGAGCAGTTTTGCCTTGAAGAATGGGCAAAAATCCCAGTGGCTAGATGTGCCAAGCTTATAGAGACATACCCCAAGAGACTTGCAGCTGTAATTGCTGCAAAAGGTGGCTCTACAAAGTATTGACTTTGGGGAGGTGAATAGTTATGCACGCTCAAGTTTTTTGTTTTGTCTTATTTCTTGTTTGTTTCACAATAAAACATATTTCACATCTTCAAAGTGGTAGGCATGTTGTGTAAATCAAATGATACAAACCCCCTAAAAATCAATTTAAATTCCAGGTTGTAAGGCAACAAAATAGGAAAATTGCCAAGGGGGGTGAATACTTTCGCAAGCCAGTGTGTGTGGATGGATGGATGGATGGATGGATGGATGGTACCAGTCAAAAGTTTGGACACACTTACTCATTCAAGGGTTTTTCTTTATTTTTAATATTTTCTACATTGTAGAATAATAGTGAAGACCTCAAAACTATGAAATAACACATATGGAATCATGTAGTAACAAATCAAAATATATTTTATATATAGTAGCCACCCTTTGCCTTGATGACAGCCTTGCACACTCTTGGCATTATCTCAACCAGCTTCATGAGGTAGTCACATGGAATGCATTTCAATTAACGTGTGTGCCTTAAGTTAATTTGTGGAATTTCTTTCCTCCTTAATGCGTTTGAGCCAATCAGTTGTATTGTGACAAGGTAGGGGTGGTATACAGAAGATAGCCCTATTTGGTAAAAGACCCAAGTCCATATTATGGCAAGAACAACTCAAATAAGCAAAGAGAAACGACAGTCCATCATTACTTTAAGACATGAAGGTCAGTCAATACAGAACATTTCACTTTGAAAGTTTCTTCAAGTGCAGTCGCAAAAACCATCAAGCGCTATGATGCAATTGGCGCTCATGAGGACCGCCACAGGAATGGAAGACCCAGAGTTACCTCTGCTACAGAGGATAAGTTCATTAGTTACCAGCCTCAGAAATTGCAGCCCAAATAAACGCTTCACAGAGTTCAAGTAACAGACACATCTCAACATCAACTGTTCATAGGGGACTGTGTGGCCTTCATGGTCAAATTGCTGCAAAGAAACCACCACTAATGGACACCAATAAGAAGAAGAGACCTGCTTGGGCCAAGAAACACGAGCAATAGACATTAGACCGGTGGAAATCTGTCCTTTGGTCTGATGAGTCCAAATTTGAGATTTTTGGTTCAAACCGCAGTGTCTTTTGTGAGACACAGAGTAGGTGAACGGATGATCTCCACATGTGTAGTTCCCACCGTGAAGCCTGGAGGAGGAGGTGTTATGGTGCGGGGGTGCTTTGATGGTGACGCTGTATGTGATTTTATTTAGAATTCAAGGCACACTTAACAAGCATGGCTACCACAGCATTCTGCAGCGATACGCCATCCCATCTGGTTTGGGCTTAGTGGGACTATCATTTGTTTTTCAACAGGACAATGACCCAACACACCTCCAGGCTGTGTAAGGGCTATTTGACCAAGAAGGAGAGTGATGGAGTGCTGCATCAGATGACCTGGCCTCCAAAAACACCGACCTCAACCCAATTGAGATGGTTTGGGATGAGTTAGACCGCAGAGTGATGTAAAAGCAGCCAACAAGTGCTCAGCATATGTGGGAACTCCTTCAAGACTGTTGGAAAAGCATTCCAGGTGAAGCTGGTTGAGACAATGACAAGAGTGTGCAAAGCTGTCATTAAGGCAAAGGGTGGCTACGTTGAAGATCTCAAATATAAAATATATTTTGATTTGTTTAACACTTTTTTGGGGTTACTACATGATTCCATATGTGTTATTTTATAGTTTTGATGTCTTCACTATTATTCTACAATGTAGAAAATAGTAAAAATAAAGAAAAACCCTGGAATGAGTAGGCGTGTCCAAACTTTTGACTGGTACTGTATATAACAGCCTCAATTCGTCGGGGCATGGACTCTACAAGGTGTCGAAAGAGTTCCACAGGGATACTGGCCCATGTTGACTCCAATGCTTCCCACAGTTGTCATGTTGGTGGGATGTCCTTTGGGGGGTGGATGGAGATGTGTTGGGGGAATGGGATGGGAGGCTCACTTTTTGTTTATTTTCCTTTACGTACTAATCTTTTATTTTTTGTCTGTAATACGATCATATTGATCAATACTTTGTATTTATGTACCTTTAAAAAAAAATTGGGGTAGGGCAAGCCCAAAGGTGAATACAAACGAAATATGAAATTATATGAATTTCTATATTGTACCTTTTTAACCCCCCCACCCCACCCCATTATAAATATATATATTAATAGTCACACAAGACAAAATGATCCTCTGAGCCTATTGTTTGACGTTGTTTTTCTGTCTGTCAGAGTGCAGTGGTGATGGAGAAGGAGGAGAAGGCGAGAAACGCTAAGCTGAAGCCCAAGAAGCGTAAGCTGCGACCGGAAGGGAAACGCACACATGAGTACATCTGCTTCTGCTGCGGAGAGGGAGGGGAGCTGGTCATGTGTGACAAGAAGGACTGCCCTAAAGCTTATCACCTGCTTTGTCTCAACCTCACCAAACCCCCATACGGTATGTGTGTGTATGTGTGTGTGTGTGTGTGTGTGTGTGTGTGTGTGTGTGTGTGTGTGTGTGTGTGTGTGTGTGTGTGTGTGTGTGTGTGTGCGTGCGTGTGTACATTAATAACCTTCTCTTTGTGTGTGTTTAGGTCGTTGGGAGTGCCCATGGCATGACTGCAGTGTGTGTGGTGTCCCCGCCTCATCCCTCTGTGACTTCTGCCCTCGCTCCTTCTGCCGGGAACATGAGGGGGGAGCTCTCACCCCCTCTACCCTGGAGGGTCGCCCCTGCTGCTCCAACCACGATCCTCTCAGCCCCCTGGGCCCCAACGCCAACCCCCCACACACTCACAGACACCCCCCTGGTACGGCCAGCATCAAAGAGGAGCCCAGCCAGGAGGACAGAGAGTAAAACTGTCTCAAATCGCACCCTATTCCCTAATATAGTGCACTAGAAATGGAGCATAGGGTGTGATTAGAGATATGCTATCAAGTGGAAGAGACCAGAACTTCAGCCAACAGTTACACCTGATATTCCCATGGGCTGGACAGAATGACTGACAGACCGAAGGACTGACAGGCGCAGACTTGGTGTGAGTAGTCAGTGGTTCTATATCAGAGAGCGGAGCAGAGCTCCTCTATCTAAGGATGGTGGGAGTGGAGGAGAGGGCAAGGGGAGATGGAGAGGTGTGCCAGACATCACCCCAAATAACCAGTGTTTCAGTTTCACCACTTCAGTGTGATTATGTCAACACTAACTGTGGAAACTCAGTTAGTGTTCTTGGTTACCGGCACTTTGAAGAACTCTGTGAGGGGGATGGAGAGGGGGTTTAAACCTTTTTCCACCATGCTGCTTTTCTCTTTGTTTACTTCCTGTGTGCTGGGGTTGCTAGTGGCCCATTTCCAGGGACCGCTTCAGATCCCCAGAAGGCTTTGCTGTGTGTTGGTGAGCCAGCAGAGCCAGGCCCAACACTCATCTACCACCCTCATCACTCCAGACATGATCTAGCTATCCCCATCTGTGTCTCTTTTCACAACGAGAAGAAAATAGATTTGTGCCATTTTCAGGATCACGCTATATTCCGACATTCCTTATACCTGTTTTTGATATACTTATTAATATATATATACACAGTGCCTTCAGAAAGTATTCATACCCCTTGAATTATTCCACATTTTGTTGTTACAGCCTGAATTCAAAACGGATTAAATATATATTTTTTTCTCACCCATCTACACACAATACTCCATAAGGACAAAGTGAAAACATGTTTTTAGACATTTCTGCACATTTATTGAAAAATACATATTAATTAACATAAGTGTTCACACCCCTGAGTCAATACATGTTAGAATCACCTTTGGCAGCGATTACAGCTGTGAGTCTTTCTGGGTAAGTCTCTAAGAGCTTTGCACACCTGAATTGTGCAGTATTTGCCCATTTATTATTTTCAGAATTCTTCAAGCTCTGTCAAATTGGTTGTTGATCATTGCTAAACAACCATTGTCATGTCTTGCAATAGATTTTCAAGCAGATTTTAAGTCAAAACTGTAACTCGGCCACTCAGGAACATTCACTGTCTTGGTAAGCAACTCCAGTGTAGATTTGGCCTTGTTTTTTAAGTTATTGTCCTGCTGAAAGGTGAATTCATCTCCCAGTGTCTGGTGGAAAGCAGAGTGAACCAGGTTTAATCTAGGATTTTGCCTGTGCTTAGCTCCATTTCGTTTATTTTTTATCCTGAAAAACTCCCCAGTCCTTAATGATTACACGCATACCCATAACATGATGCAGCCACCACTATGCTTAAAAATATGGAGAGTGGTACTCCGTAATGTGTTGGATTTGCCACAAACATAACATAACACTTTGTATTCAGGACAAAAAGTGTATTGCTTTGCCACATTTTTTGCAGTATTACTTTAGTGCCTTTAGGATGCATGTTTTGGAATATTTTTCTTCTCTACAGGCTTCCTTCTTTTCACTCTGTCAATTAGGTTAGTATTGTGGAGTAACTATAATGTTGTTGATCCATCCTCAGTTTTCTCCTTTCACAGCCATTAAACTCTGTAAATGTTTTAAAGTCACCATTGTCCTCAAGGTGAAATCCCTGAGCGGTTTCCTTCCTATCCAGCAACTGAATCAGGAAGGATGCCTGTATCTTTGTAGTGACTGGGTGTATTGATACACCATCCAAAGAGTAATTAATAACTTCACCATGCTCAAAGGGATATTAGTGTGTGCTTTTTTCTCTTATTTTTTTTACCCATCTACCAATAGGTGCCCTTCTTTGCGAGGCATTGGAAAACCACCCTGGCCTCTGTTTGAAATTCACTGCTCGACTGAGGGACCTTACAATTATCTGTATGTGTGGGGTACAGAGATGAGGTAAACACTATAATATTGCACACAGTGAATCCATGCAACTTATTGTTACTTGTTAAGCAAATGTTTATTCCTGAACTTTTATTTAGGCTTATCATAAGAAAGGTTTTGAATACTTATTGACTCAAGGCATTTCAGCTTTTCATTTTAATGAATTTGTAAAAAATTCAAAAAACATAATTCCACTTTGACATTATGGGGTATTGTGTGTAGGCCAGTTACCAAAAAATCTCAATTTAATCCATTTAAAATTCAGGATGTAACATAACAAAATGTGGAAAAAGTCAACGGGTGTGAATACTTTCTGAAGGCAGTTTGTGTGTGTGTGCGTATACATACATACATACATACATACATACATACAGTACCAGTCAAAAGTTTGGACACCTACTCATTCAAGTGTTTTTCTTTATTTTTACTATTTTGTACATTGTAGAATAATAGTGAAGACATCAAAACTATGAAATAAAACATATGGAATCATGTAGTAACCAAAAAAGTGTTAAACAAATCAAAATATATTTTATATTTGAGATTCTTCAAATAGCCACCCTTTCCCTTGATGACAGCTTTGCACACTCTTGGCATTCTCTCAACCAGCTTCACCTGGAATGCTTTTCCAACGGTCTTGAAGGAGTTCCCACATATGCTGAGCACTTGTTGGCTGCTTTTCCTTCACTCTGCCATCCGACTCATCCCAAACCGTCTCAATTGGGTTGAGGTCAGGGGATTGTTAAGGCCAGGTCATCTGATGCAGCACTCCATCACTCTCCTTGGTAAAATAGCCCTTACACAGCCTGGAGGTGTGTTGGGTCATTGTCCTGTTGAAAAACAAATGATAGTCCCACTAAGCCCAAACCAGATGGGATGGCGTATCACTGCAGAATGCTGTGGTAGCCATGCTGGTTAAGCGTGCCTTGAATTCTAAATAAATGACACAGTGTCACCAGCAAAGCACACCATAACACCACCTCCTCCATGCTTTATGGTGGGAAATACACATGCGGAGATCATCCATTCACCCATACCGCGTCTCACAAAGACACTGCGGTTTGAACCAAAAATCTCCAATTTGGACTCCAGACCAAAGGACAGATATCCATCGGTCTAATGTCCATTACTCATGTTTCTTGGCCCAAGCAGGTCTCTTCTTCTTATTGGTGTCCATTAGTAGTTGTTTCTTTGCAGCAATTCGACCATGAAGGCCTGATTCACACAGTCCCCTCTGAACAGTTGATGTTGAGATGTGTCTGTTACTTGAACTCTGTGAAGCGTTTATTTGGGCTGCAATTTCTGAGGCTGGTAACTCTAATGAACTTATCCTCTGCAGCAAAGGTAACTGGGTCTTCCATTCCTGTGGCGGTCCTCATGCGCGCCAGTTGCATCATAGCGCTTGATGGTTTTTGCGACTGCACTTGAAGAAACCTTCATGTCTTAAAGTAATGATGGACTGTCGTTTCTATTTGCTTATTTGAGTTGTTCTTGCCATAATATGGACTTGGTATTTTACCAAATAGGGCTATCTTCTGTATACCACCCCTACCTTGTCACAACACAACTGATTGGCTCAAACGCATTAAGAAGGAATGAAATTCCACAAATTAACTTTTAAGAAGGCACACCTGTTAATTGAAATGCATTCCAGGTGACTACCTCATGAAGCTGGTTGAGAGAATGCCAAGAGTGTGCAAAGCTGTCATCAAGACAAAGGGTGGCTATTTGAAGAATCTCAAATATAAAATATATTTTGATTAGTAAAAAACAAAACAAAATTACTACATTATTACATATGTGTTATTTCAGAGTTTTGATGTCTTCACTATTATTCTTCAATGTAGAAAATAGTAAAAATAAAGAGAACCCCTTGAATGAGTAGGTGTGTCAACTTTTGACTGGTAGTGTACATACATACTGAAAAAAATTATAAACGCAACATGCAACAATTTCAAAGATTTTTGTAAGTTACAGTTCATATAAGGAAATCAGTCAATTGAAATAAATTCATTAGGCCCTAATCTATGGATTTCACTGGGAATACAGATATGCTTCGGTGGTTCATAGATACCTTAAAAAAATTAAGGTAGGGGTGTGGATCAGAAAACCAGTCAGTATCTGGTGTGACCTCCAAAAAATGTGCCTCATGCAACGCGACACATATCCTTCGCATAGAGTTGATCAGGCTGTTGATTGTGGCCTGTTGAATGTTGTCCCACTCCTCTTCAATGGCAGTGCAAAGTTGCTGGATATTGGCAGGAAGAACTGGGAAATGTTCAGCTTCCAGAAATTGTATACAAATCCTTGCGTCATGGGGCCATGCATTATGATGCTGAAACATGAGGTGATGGCGGCGGATGAATGGCACGACAATGGGCCTCAGGATTTTGTCACGGTATCTCTGTGCATTCAAATTGTCATCGATCAAATGCAATTGTGTTGTCCGTAACTTATGCCTGCCCATACCATTACCCCACCGCCACCATGGGGCACTCTGTTCACAACGTTGACATCAGAAAACCGCTAACCCACACAACGCCGTACACGCTGTCTGCCATCTGCCTGGTACAGTTGAAACCGGGATTCATCCGTGAAGAGCACACTTTTCCAGCATTCCAGTGACCATCGAATGTGAGCATTTGCCCACTGAAGTCGGTTACGACACCAAACTGCAGTCAGGTCAAGACCCTGGTGAGGACGACACGCACGCAGATGAGCCTCTCTGAGACGGTTTCTGACAGTTTGTGCAGAAATTCTTCAGTTGTGCAAACCCACAGTTTCACCAGCTGTCTGGGTGGCTGGTCTCAGATGATCCCGCAGGTGAAGAAGCCAGATGAGGAGGTCCTGGCCTGACGTGGTTACACATGTTTGCAGTTGTGAGGCCGGTTTGACATACTGCCAAAATCTCTAAAACGCTCCCTTAAACTTGAGACATCTGTGGCATTGTGTTGTGTGACAAAACTTCACATTTTAGTGGCCTTTTATTGTCCCCATCACAAGGTGCACCTATGTAATTATCATGCTGTTTAATCAGCTTCTTGATACGCAACACCTGTCATGGATGGATTATATTGGCAAAGGAGAAATGCTCACTAGCAGAGATGTAAAAAAAATAGAGAAATAAGCTTTTTGTGTTTATGGAACTTTTCTGGGATCTTTTATTTCAGCTCATGAAACATGGGACCAACACTTTATGTTGCGTTTGTAGTGTTTGTTCTGTTTGTGTGTGTGTGTGTGTGTGTGTGTGTGTTATATATCCACACACACACTCAGTGGCCAGTTTTTTAGGTACACCACCCCGTTCACAAAAATGGTTCACTCCTACAGACAGTGAGTCAAGTAACCATGGCCTGCTATATAAAGCAGGCAGACAGGCATTGAGACATCAGTTACTGTTTGATTGAATGTTAAATGGGCAAAACGAGTGACCTAAGCGACTTTGAGAGTGGTATGATCGTCAGTGCCAGGCGCGCCGGTTCCAGTATCTCAGAAACGGCCGGCCTCCTGGGCTTTTCATGCACAACAGTGTCTAGGGTTTACCGGGAATGGTGCGACAAACAAAAAACATCCAGTCAGCGGTAGTCCTGCGGTCGAAAACAGCTCGTTGATGAGAGGTCGAAGGAGAATGGCAAGAATCGTGCAAGCTAACAGGCGGCCCACAAACAAGCAAATAACGCAGTACAACAGTTGTGTGCAGAACGGCAACTCGGAACGCACAACTCGTTGTTCCGGATGGGCTATTGCAGTAGACGACCACACTGGAAAAACATTGCCTGGTCCGACGAGTCCCGTTTACTGTTGCATCATGCTGATGGCAGAGTCAGGATTTGGCGTAAGCAGTATGAGTCCATGGCCCGATCCTGCCTGGTGTCAACGGTACAGGCTGGTGGCGTAATGGTGTGGAGAATGTTTTCCTGGCACATGTTAGGTCCCTTGATACCAATTGAGCAATGTTTCCATGTCCCGAAGAATTCAGGACCGTACTGGAGGCAAATGGGGTCCGACCCGCTACTGGATGGGTCTACCTAATTCACTAGGTTAGTGAAGTGTTATATTATACAGATATGGTCCCAGTCTGTTTGTACACAGTAATGCAGCCAGCCTAGAGGAACTCACTTCCAATCAGATAGCTGGATGTTCATTGGCCCTGTGTGCAGTAATGTAAGTGATGGTGTGTACTGTACTGTCCACCAAATGTTATGTTTTAAATTGTTCTGCTAAACCTTTTTAAAGCACTTTCACAGTTTATTGCTCCATACTTTTGGTAGGTCATAACATACATGTATATAATACAACATGACATTGTACATGCTTGAAATGGATACCTCTTTTCTGTAGTAATGTAGGAATTTGTAACTGTTTTGTAACTTCTGCTCTAGGTCCAATGACATGATCCAAATATCTTTTTGACTGAAAATGTTCTCTCACACAAGTTACTGCTGAACACATTTTCTGTTTTTTTATCATAGTAGAACGACTAACGCCCTCATCTAAATTCAAGGTATTTAGTACATTCAGTATTTTGCCCTAGTGGGTATTTATTTTCACTTTTTGTATGACTGTGTGCATCTCCACAAATTGGTTTTGTATCAACATTAAGTTATACAGTACCTCGGTATCAGATAAGTAAACATAATGTAAAGATTATGTACAGTGTTTTTAATCTCATCATCCTATGACAGATTTTTGTAATTATATCACACCTTTTATACTAGTTGATTTATGTATCAAAAACACCTATTGGAAATCCGCACCCTCCCAAAGTATTAAGTAACAGGCTATAAAACAATAGGGAGATTTAAAATGGATGATTCTGTATGTCGTTGTCTTTACATTTCATATATTTTATATTAGTGTAAATGGTACCACTGTTTGATAACAGCTGCTCCTCATAGGCCAAGCTGTCTGTATTGTGACTCACTGTACTAATGTTAAAGCAGTTAAAAGCAATTGAACATTGTGATGTAAAGTAACCGAGCACTTAATTCAGCCTAAACTCAAATGATCATGTTGAACCTAGAACATTTAGTCTGCTAATCTTGTCTGAGCCTGTGCTTTCTCTTCTCTGGAACATTACTGACTGATTATGTCACCCAAATATACAAGGTTGTCAAACGTTTCCATACCTCTTGTTGTCTAGTGTCAAATTGTGTCCACATTCATGTCTTAACGAAATAGAATTAGATTGTGCCAATATCTTACATTAATTTGGGATTGAAGCCTGCTGATTTCTCCTAATACATTTAGCAGGGTAAACACAATTTAATGGAATATGGACTCGGTTGCTCTCAAACCTGCCAAATGATAGTATTTTCTTTCGATAGGTGTAGATGGGTGTTAGATTTAGATCATGTCAGTACTTAGTCTGTGGTCCACACAGCGCATCATCATATAGGTGCATCAAGGCACTGTCAGATTTTTAACAACCTTTTAAAACTTGAATTATATTTTTTTCTTTCATTTCTTTATTTTTGTATTGTTTTGTACTACAAATCAATATGTTCACAAACCTCATGAGTATTTGACTGATAACTGATTTGACATGGTAGATATCTATGATAGATATTAGGCCTATTCATTCTGAGCCACATCTCAGGTCCTCTTGACTGTCTTGTCATGGTTTGTAAAGGAGTCCCTAGTCTTTAAGCCTTCTCTAACCTTCAATTAGTGACCATTGTAAACTGGACCATTGTATGCTTACTCCAACACAAAAGCAATTTGTGCAGAAGTATATAATTTTCACCTAAGACTTGATGCACCCCTTCCATTCTGAAAGGAGGGTAAATCTGAATCTGTTTTATCAGTTGGGGACATCTTTTATATCCATTTTTAAAGCTCCTTTGTTGTTATGTTGAAAACAACCACATGTGGATGCTCTTGTATGTCATTGTATTCTGTTTTATCCTCTATTGGTATCGCACACAGATTATCCAGGCCAACCCAATAGCCTTTATTTTTTGCACCTGTTTTGAAACTTACTCACTTTATGCCAGTTGGACTTGAACACAACATTCAGCCTGTACAATGACCATATAGTCGTCATTCTGTTTGCCACAGACATTATAGATTTGAATCATGTTTTTACATTATCTTCCTCACTGAAGAGGAAGTCAAACAGTAGGGTTACGAAGACTGAGTTATCAAAGTATTATCTTCCAACGACTTTGGATGGGGCTCTTTTTGAATCATACGTTTCTGTTCCACACCTTTCAGTTAATGTTTATTTTGTGCAATACTATTTGTTATTTCTGTCATTACAGGTGATTGACATGCTCTCCCAGACATTAGGAAAAACAGGGATTTCAGAGGAACTAATTTCTCCAGTCATGTAGTCAAACTGCTCTGGGGATTCCGCCGGGGTTGTATCTATCTCTTAATGTTGCTTCAATTAAAAGGTGGTTGAACACAAAGTTACCATATTGTTTTACTGTTCAGCAGTCTGTTATTGCATAATGTTAAGACTTGTACATAGATTGCATTGAACTTGCATAGGATAATGTTACTGTGGCGTGCTATTGCCTGTACAATTCTGCTTCTAAATGTGTGTGTGACTGTGAGGATGCCACTCTTTTGTACATGACTGTCTTTTTATTTTTTTCATTCTAAAGGAGGTTGAGGTGGAGCCGAGGAGTTCAGACATGCCTGAAGTTTGACTTAAATAAAGCTGTACTGTGTCTCAGTGGAAGTAATTTGTGTCTCTCTTCATTTAAAATAGAATATCACTTTCAGTTGGCAGATTAAAATCATTTATAGTAATTGCATTTCTTTTTGCTGTGCATGAGCCCAAAGGCACTCTTGGGTCATATTAATCCATTTTGTTATTCTACCATTTGCCCACTAGAGGTCGCCCCGTTAACGTGACGTGGCATCGTACTTTATGCTGCGTTAAAGACAACTGGAAACGTGTGAAGAACCAGCTCCGACTGGGAAAAATTGTTTTGAACGGTCATCCAACTTGGAATTCCAAGTTGAAAACTCGTGGATCTTTATAGAGCTCTGACTTTCCGACCTGAAGATCACTGATGTCATGATTTGACCTTGTTTTTTTCCGATATCCCAGAAGTCTTGAAAGCACCATTATTTTTCGACAAAGACCGACAAGAAGCTTTCTCCTCCTCCGGGCATCTCTCTCGCAGGTCTCTAGCTATACCGGTTTAGCGGATGGGAGAAGTATGATGATGATGGGGAGGCCCAGGTCACGGTAGCTAGCAGTGCGAGTATGAGGAGAAAGACGTAACTAAACACCGAGTTTAAGGTTGGTCCTCCTGGTTTAGACCGCTTGAAATGCGAAAATGCTCCTAAACGTTATTCCCAGATGTGTGGCTAGAGACAGATGATGTAGCTAGGCTAACGTTACTAGCAAGAATATAAAGATGTAGCCAGCTATCTATACGAGAGCAGGGCACTGTTTAAGATGAATAAATAATGAATAATTTGTTTAGGGTATACTTTATCCGATTTAGTTGGCCATTTTAAAGAGCACCACGAGGAAATAGTATCCTATCAATTCATCGTGATGCTTGGTTCGATATGGAACAAGAAAGACTAGCATGCCTTCTCCAGTACCTGTTCTTGAACCAATCAATTTATTTTATTTGGTTCACACTGCCATATGTCAACAAAGTAAGACTTAAAAATGTGTTATACGTGTGTTATGACATGACTTTTGTCGTAAATGTATTTTGAAACCATGTTATTTCGTCCCCCCTTCCTCACAGTTTTGGAGAGGATTCCAGTGGATTTACCAAGTGATCTGTCTGGAAACTAACCTGATAAACAAGATGAAGAGGGGTTTGCTGCGTGGCTTACTGCCAGAGGTGTCTATCCGACTGCTGCTTCTGGTTGTCTTCCTGTGAGTCATTAAAATTGAAACATCGCAATAACATTTACAAATGTGTTCCATATGGACTTGTCTGGTGCAACTCAAATGAACAAAACATGACTGTGTGTGTTATCTCCCTCAGTGTGACAGAGCAGCTTCCACCCTTTATTCGTGAGATCCAGGCAGAGGAGATGTGGCTGTATAGGTTTCACAGAGTGGAGAATGACCATGTCCCCACCTCTCTCATGTTTGTGAGTACTGGTGTGTGTCAGGGGGAGGCACTGACTGAATTCGCAGGACTCATGGAACATTGAATGTGAATATTTGTTCTGCCGGTAGTACTTTAGATTACAGCACAGGATAAACTGGAGAGTAACAATAACTTGTTACCATACTATTGCCATGTTATTACCAGGTAATCTTGTGCTTTAATGTAAAGTGCTACCATTCTGTCTTACAAATTATATTGCTATGGTACTGACCATGTCCCTCGTATCAGAGCGTGGCATGTTTCACTCCATTCCTGGTGATCCTGCTTTTCACCTTTCTGAAGAGAGCTGAGAGAGGAGACGTGAGAGAGGCCTCACTAGGTAAGGCCTGACTGTAGAACTACACATGCTGTTTGGCATCAGAGCAGCTGCACAGAGATGTGTGTGTGTGTGAGAGAGAGAGATACTGACCCAGTTGTTTGCCTCTGTTCTTCAGCGGTGACTCTGGCTCTGGTACTGAACGGAGTTTTCACCAACGCCATCAAGCTGGTCGTAGGCCGGTGAGTACTAGTCTGGAGTGCTAGTATGGAGATGTAAAGTTAGAGTTGCATTGCTACAAGCTCAGTGTTATGCTGACTGGATGTGATGTAATGTGTGTGTGTGCTTCAGGCCGCGGCCAGACTTCTTCTACCGCTGTTTCCCAGATGGACAGATGAACCTGGAGATGCACTGCAGCGGCGACCCGGAAGTGGTCATGGAGGGCAGGAAGAGCTTTCCCAGTGGACACTCCTCCTGTAAGGCCCAATCTGATTGGCTAGTCCTCATGCGAGAGCAGATCTGATGGGCTGTGAGACTACAGTGGGCTCATTCAGATTAAAAGCACATTAAGCTAGTTAGACTGGACCTGTGTGCGTGTGTATATGTGTGTGTTAACTTGGTGGTAACTTTGATAAACAAACAGCGTTGTGTTTATTCAGACACTGGCCTAAGCATTATCATTTCAAGGATTCTCATGTCATTATGAATAAAATAGTTTATCCTACTTTGATACATGTGCCTGCCCCATCTTTGATCCCCGCTCTCTCCTCTCGTCTTGTCCCAGTTGCATTCACCGGACTGGGCTTCACAGCGCTGTATGTGGGGGGTAAGCTGCGGTGCTTTAGTCTGGGGGGTCAGGGCAGGGCCTGGAGAATGTGTCTCTTCCTCGCTCCTCTCCTCCTAGCCTTCATGATCGCTCTCTCCAGGACCTGCGACTACAAACACCACTGGCAAGGTGAGAGGGCTAACCATTAACCATATTCACTTTGAAAAGCGTTATAAACATATAAGAAATTATTATTCTAATCCACTATTGAGAGACGTGCTAAGATCTTTGTGTCACTTCTGTATATGTGTGTGTTGTCCCCCCTGTGTTTTAGATGTGTTGGTGGGTTCTGGTCTGGGCCTGGTGTTCTCTTGGCTCTGCTACAGACAGCACTACCCCTCCCTCCAGGACCCTGACTGTCACCGGCCACTACGCCACAGAGAGACTGTTCCTGCTGTGCAGGAACGCAAGCTGGCCAACTCCAACTACATATTACCCCTATAGCTCAACTCTAGCTATATAATACCCCTATAGCTGGCCAACTCCAAGTACTTACTACCCCTGTAGCTGGCCAAATCCAACTGCATACCACCCCTATAGCTCAAATCCAACTATATACTACCCCTATAGCTCAACTACATACCACCCATATAGCTGGCCAACTACATACTACCCCTATAGCTGGCCAACTACATATTACCCCTGTAGCTGGCCAAATCCAACTGCATACTACCCCTATAGTTCAAATCCAACTACATACTACCCCTCTAGCTGGCCAACTCCAAATGCATACTACCCCTATAGCTGAACTCCATTTACATACTACCCCTGTAGTCTTTCACTTCAACTACATACTACCCCTTCGCCCCGGGTTCGTTATATCTGGCCAACTGATCTCCAACTACATACTACCCTGATAGCGCTACTCAATGAGTGGTTGAGTAACTAGTGGTAGAAATGGGACCAGGCCCAATGTTAACCCTGAGTGGGGAGGAGAGGGACTGTAATTCTTGAGCCCACCAGGTACCAGGTGCTAAGCTGTTAGTGCTACTGAAATCATTTGTATTCCCTGGAAGTAGGAAAGCAGTTTTCCTCTCAACACACACAATGGATTAACCACAGCAGTTAATAGTTTTTTCCTCATATTATGATTCCCTGTTTGTTTTGTCTGATTTATAGTGCACTACTTTTGACAACAGCCCTATAGGCCCAGATCAAAAGTAGTGCACTGTATACGGAATAGGGTGCCATTTGGGAGGCAGACCTGTCTGTGGAGGTGAGGGTGCACTTTTCTGTAGAGTTCAGTGTCAACACTAGGATAGCAGTGGTCTAGAATCACATTACAGTTTGTACATTTAGAGTTCATCCTTTACATCAGTGGTCACCAACTGGTTGATCGTGATCGACTGGCAGATTTCCAAGCCATTCCTAGTCGATCACCAAACATTTCTGTAAAAAATAAATAATAATAAAGCCTTGCAATCCTAGTTTTTTTTTTATTCGTTTCGTGCTTTTGGCGGTAGGTGCACTTGATTCAGCAGACCTAGGGAAGTGTTCCCATTTTGAACTATTTTGTGTGTCTGAAGGTAGAACTCCACCTACCCGGCAGGCCCAGAGAGCAAATCAAGTGCACCTATTGGCCTACCGCTGGCCAATCAGATAGCTCAGATCATCATGTCTGCACAGTTTCCTCGCGCCATAGACTGTAAAAAGAAGCCTCGAACGCACAGCAAAGTTGATAATGTGAGATTTCAAAACGTTTAAAACCATGACTATAGAGACTCAACGAATAAACGAATACAGCAAAGAGCTGCTGTTTTTATGAGTAAGTTCATGTTTAAGTTGTTATTCATCACTGTCAACACTTTGTACAAACATTTTTATAATCCATAAAATGCGCGTTCTCGCTACTTCCACTCACACTACAACCAGCACTGCAGCTGCAATGAATGAGTATAGCAAAGTGTTTCGATAAGCTTGCATTGTTATTATTTGCGGCTTGTCTTTTTTAATATCAAGGAATATTTCACTTTCTCATAGGAGTAACAACATGAATTGGTGCATGAGGCAGAAATAATGCAGTGCGACTTATGTTTCGCCGTCAGGACTGTGTCCCCTTTTCTTAGCGGAGGGAGGGAGAGCGGAGGAATGGTGAGTTGGTGAGAGACAGTCTCACCGCTGCTCCCTCCCTCCCCTCAGACTGACCATCAGATGCAGGCCATCAGTCCAGTAAAAAAAAAATATATATATTATGCGCACTCAGCTGTGTCTCACAAGTAATACAACAAATGATCTATTACCAGTGTGATCATATACCAACATTTAAAAATATATAATTTCTAAATGGTGTGAGAAGAACAACATTGGCAGGGCAATTCAACAGTAGCCAATATGTAGTGATAATGTATTGGGCCTATAGCCTACTGCACAAACCTCATTGCTACAAAACTGTTTTTAATTGGTTAATGTTGCATAGGCTTACGTTTTTTAAGTCATGTTTTATTTATTTATCTGAGCGGTAGGATCTAGGCTTGCATTTTGACTCAGAAAGTGATCTTGACTCAGAAAAGGTTGGTGACCACTGCTTTACATTGTTTGTATTCCTGTGTATTTATTCCTGTTCAGTACAGATGTGTCTACAATTAAATTACTTAGTTGTACTGTGATGCTGGTAAAACTGATACCAGTATGCCAACTGCTGTATGGCTGACATCATTGAAATGTTTGGACTTTGGAGGCAGTTCTGTGATGGCAGTAACCCCAGTAAAGGCAATCAGATGGAGATGGTTTGGGATGTGAGGAAGATCCATTTTCCAGCAGAAACAGCTGACTGACTGATGTGTGCCTTTGTTAAATACTTTATTTGTTGTTTACATTCCTCTTTAAACCAATAAGCTATTCACTCTGCATGTACTGCACATATATACTTTACTGTATGCTTCCTATTTCTACTTGTTAAGTATTGTCTGTAGAAAACAACTTGGTCGAAGCGTAACTTGAACCTTCACGCAACTCTCTCATTGACATCAGTGAATGGTTTTCAGGAAACTTCGACTCACATGCATTTTTCAAGTTTTGCCATTACTGTGTATGCTTACATTGATTGTTTAACATCAATGTGATCAGATAGAATTTAACTTTACAATGTGTATAGATTTGATTCCAACTTGTTGTATTGCCTTTTTACTTCATCCAGTGTATTGTTGGTTAAATGTTTGTAGACATGGTGGCGTTTTATGGATTGTGTAAGGATACACAGGGTGTGTTTAGAATGGAATCGGGCCAACATACAGCTTCTAGAATGGAGTGGGAGAGGAATCAGTATAAGTGAATCTGATTTTATTTATGCTCATATTTATATGGTAATGTCAGTTTGCAATAAAGATAATTAATTTTAGGGCATGCAGAAGTTTACTTGAATTAAAACGTTATTTAGTTGCTAGGTTCCTTCTCCAATCTACTGATTGTACCCAATTGTTTTAATTTACATGCAACACACTAGCAATTTTTTGTGCATACGTGCATACTTGCATGTTCCACTGCTGAAGATTCTCTACTTTATCAGGGGTATAGGGGTTGTTTTAATATTAGGCTATTGCTTGTGTCCTTCCAGCTTCCACTTATCTGCCTTTTCGTGTAGAGGAGACGACTACAAGCTGCTCCTGTTAACACTGTAGCCTGATTGTATTTGTTGTGATGAACTTATTGGTGACACACTTTTACTATTATGTTTCTTAATAAACCACTCAAATCCACACATCGTCTGCTGCCTATTCTTCAACCGAACCATCAATAATGAAATAGTTGTTGCAGTAGAACAAATGAATAGCTACATCATCAAAGGTCAACAGAAGCCCCGTTTATACCTGGTGCTAAATAGAGGACACCTAGTCAGTTGCACAACTGAATGCATTCAACCGAAATGTGTCTTCCGCATTTAACCCAACCCCTCTGAATCAGAGAGGTGCCGGGGGCTACCTTAATCGACGTCGTCGGCGCCCAGTTGTTGGGGGTTAACTGCCTCGCTCAAGGGCAGAATGGCAGATTTTTCAACCTTGCCGGCTCGGGGATTCGAACCAGGGACCTTTCAGTTACTGGCCCAACACGCTTAATCGCTAGGCTACTGTTGATGATCACAAGTTTACTGGAGAACGGAGACCAAGTAGAGACTTTCGGACAAGGTGGATAATTGTATAATATGAGGCAGTTTATTCAGAGGTAAAGATATCTGTAAATAGCGTGCACGGACCCGTTCGTCAACCTCGTAGGGAGATATCTGAGAGCGAGAGCCCCTAAACATTGTGTGCTGACATTTTATACAATAAAATAAAGTAGGTTGATTCTAGTAGTTCTGATCTTCTGATTGGTCCTGATGAGTTGGTCGAGGTCACTTCCATTGCATTGGCTCTGAGTCGGGTTCTCTGTCTTCAGATGTTCAGCCTAAGAGAAGGGGGTTTTTGTGTGTGTGTGCTTAACAATGATGATGTGTGTGTGTGTGTGTGTGCGTGTGTGTATGTGTGTGTGTGTGTGTATGTGTGTGTGTGTGTATGTGTGTGTATGTGTGTGTGTATGTTTAACAATGATGATGTGTGTGTGTGTGTGTGTGTGTATGTGTGTGTGTGTGTGGGGGTGTGTGTGTGTATGTCCTCAGAGCAATAACTCGTGAGTTTGGGAGAACTGAGAGACCTATGGCGTGGGTGTTGTCCATAGCCACCTGCTGATAAGGCCGACAAGATAGAAGTCTTTGTGCATTGTATTAAATCCAAAGGCCCAACACAAGATGGGTTATGCACAAGATTTTAGTCAGACCAAGCTATAACATTATATATTTACTACGACAAATCCCTCTCTTCACGTCTCCCCAGAGACGTGACCAAGTAACAGTAAAGAAGGAAAACTTAAGACGTGACACAAGCTAACAGTGTAATTGGCAAAATAGGGAAAACTTTATCAGAAGATAAAGTTTTACATTCCCCCTCTTCACGTCTCACAAGAGACGTGACAAAAAGCTTAAATGCTGCAATTGGCAAAATAGGGAAAACTTTATCAGAGGATAAAGTTTTACATTCCCCCTCTTCACGTCTCACAAGAGACGTGACAGAAAGCTTAAATGCTGCAATTGGCAAAATAGGGAAAACTTTATCAGAAGATAAAGTTTTACATTCCCCCTCTTCACGTCTCACAAGAGACGTGACAAAAAGCTTAAATGCTATTCATCATCCAGATATCCTTGGTCAGCATCGTCAATAGCAAGCAAAGGAAACATCTGACCGTTATCTGCAGGATGTGGATCAATAGCGGTGGTTATAATCCTGGTTGTCAGCGTCCGTATGCATGGAATGCAACAGCATCCACAAAGCACTAGAATTGCAGCAAAAACAGAGATGGATACAAGTATAGAAGAAACAAGCGTTTTATATTTACCAAACACATCCATCCAAGAGTCCCACATTGAAGTGTCCACCCCTGAGTGGCTCTTCATCTTACCATTAAGAGTTTGTAAC